AGGTGTTACTGGCGTTACGCTGCTGCACCACATGTCTGCTGTCGTAAGGTACACGCATGTGCGTGCATGGGTGGTGGTGTGTGGGTTTTCCTCTTCCTCTTCCCTCCCCCTGCGCCTTCCCTCCTCCCGCACGCCCCCCCCCCCCTGCCGCTCCCCCCTCCGCACCAGTCAGGTCGGTGCACGCCCACCAGGTTGATGAAGTGCTTCAGGGCTGCGAACAGCGCCAGGCCCTCAGCCAGGGACAGCAGCCCGTGGTGGCTGCGGGGGGTGGGGAGGCAGGGGGAGGCGGAGGCAGGGGGAGGCAACGGTTAACCCTACAGAGGGAGGTGTGCAACAGCTAGCACGGCGAGGGACACAGCAGGGTTCGGTCCTAGGGTCAGCTCTGACCCACATCAGAACCCACAGACCCACATCAGCACCGGCCGGCCGCTCCACAGGGCGGTCAGCGCGAACAGCACTGCGGGCGCAATCACCACCAACAGCGCGAGGGCGGCGGTGGGGACGGTGTCGGCGTGTCGGGGGTAGGACAGCGCGGGGTCGCCGGGGGTGGTGTGTCGGTGCAGGGGGGAGATGGCCTGGGAGGGGAGGGGGGCAGGAGGGGCACGTGGGGTGGGGTGGGGCGAGTGAGGGAATGGGGAACTTCTTGGGAAGTGGAAGGAGGGGTTGTGGGAAGAGCGAGGCCGGTTGGAGTCGCCTGTAAGTGTTTCCTTGCTTTTTGCAACTGTGCACTCTCAGCTCTTCATGTCCTCCAAGTTCCCGGCTGCAATCCTTCCCTCCTTCCTTCCTTCCTTCCTTCCTAGCCCCAGTACCTTGAGCGGGACCGTGAAGTCCACCGCAAGTAGCGCCGCCACAAGCAACCAGTCCAGAAGATACGGCAAAGCGTACGACACAACGCCGCTGCCGCTGCCGCCGCGTGCGCTGCCTCCGCCACCTCCGCCGCCTCCTGCTGCCCGCATGCCTAGCGGGGAGGGCGAGCGAGAGGTTGGCATGCCCCGGTGCGGCGGTGGCAGCGGGCGGTGCTGGTTGTGGTGGTGGTGTCGGGACTGCTCAGGCGGCGGCGGGGGCAGTGACGTCTGCTGCTGCTGCTGCTGCCCCTCCGAAACCCGGTAGTAAGGTCCCATCAGCGGTTCCGCAAGATCGCGAGATGCAGTAGCACCGCCACCGCCGCCGCCGACAGCGGTGGTGGCGGCGACGTCTCTGATTCCTGTCGGCGGCAGCGGCGGCGGCGGTGGACAGCCTCGGGAAGCCTGTGACGTCTCGCCGGGAGCAGCCGCTTTCACCGCCGCCGCCGCCAGCGAGGGCGGCATGTACGGCAACGCCGCGGGTGGCCCAGGGGTCGGCGGTAGGTACGGCGCTGCTGCCACAGACTCCCCTAGCGGCAGCGGCGCCAGTGGCTTCCAGGGGGAGATGGCGGCGGCGGAGGGGGAGGGGTAGCTCGGTTGTACGGCGCCCGGAGGACCACCATCGCCGCTGCCGCTGCCGCCGGCACCAACGGCGGCGGCAGCAGGTGCAGTCGCGGTTGCATCCCCACCCCCACCCACCGGGGGGTTCCCCTCCTTGGGAATATCATTCCCGGTGCCACCAAAAGCGGCTATCAGGCCAGCAACGGTGCGTGCGGCAGTAGCTGTTGCAGCCTCAGCGGGGGCGAGCGCTGCTGCTACTGTTGTTGTTGTTGTTGTTGTTGCAGCTGCCCCGCTATCGCCGCTGCTACCGTCAGGTGCACCCTGGCCGTACAAGCTAGCGGAGGCTGGGGACGGCTGCGGCGGCGGCAGCAGCTTGGGTTGTACGGCATGCTCGGAGGGGGGTGATGTTGGCGGCACAGAGGAGGAGTATAAGGCTGCGGAGGCGGGCGCTGGTAGCGGCTGTTGCGGGGCGGATTGGGTGACGGCAGAAGCGATGGAAGTGAGTGACGGAGGTGACGGCGGCGGCGGCGGCTGCGCAGCAGCTATTGGCGGCTGCAGCAGTGGCGGCAGCGGCAGCGGCGGTGGCGGCGGCGGCGGCGGCGGTGCACCGATGTACGGCGCTTCTAGACCCGGAGGTGAGTGAGAGATGGGACCTGCGGGAGCTGCAGCTGTGCTGCCTTCCCTTGCTGGGGCTTCTGCCACTGTTGTTGTTGTTGTTGTTGTTGTCGCCCTTGTAGGATCTTTCTTTGGGACTGACGTCAGCGGTTCCGCTCTGACAGCAGCAGCGCCTTTTGCGGCTGTTGTTGCTTGGGGAGGGCTGGCTGCTTGGTCATAACGGGGTGTGCTGGTTTGAGGAAGGCTGGTTTGGGGAGGGCTGGCGTGCGGCGGGGTGTTGCCTTGGGGAGGCGAGGAGGCGGGCGAGGTGGTGGATGAGGAGGAGTCCAGCTGGACAGCGAAGGCGCGGAGGTTGGCACCGCGAGGGGATCCCAAGTCGGGCGGAAGACTGAAACCCCGCGGAAGCATTCTGGAGTTTCAAATACACAAATTTGTTGATTATATGTTTGTCTTTGTCAGATATGGATTACAAGTCTACAGCATCAGTGCTATCCGGTGCCTTTGCAACAGCAGACAAAGAGGAAGGAAAGCGGCTAGGAAAACGGGGCATTGGAGAGCAGCGCCAATGCCGTATTTGTGACAAGGAGAGGTTGCAGAGCAGCGAAAGGAGTGCGGACAGAAGGACGAGGCTGCGGCCTTATGCGCCCTAGGCCGGACGTGCCCTGATGTTGCTGACTCTGACTGACCCAGGGGCCCTCGCGGGCTTGGGGCCAATTTTCTACCTACGCGGCAACGGCAAAAGTGAAATGTAGTATGTACTTGTAAGATAAGCCCATATTAGCGAAAGCTTGCTGCCCAGATGAGCTCCTGCCATCTCCTGCAGAGCCAGTGCCGTAATCGACAGTGTGCAACGTGCGACATTTCCGTTAGTTAAACTGCATTCATCCTGTTTTGTTCTATCAGTAAGCATTCGTGCTGCATACGCGCGTTGGACAAACTCCAGCACCACATTCGCTTGCACGTTACTAACTTAGTCGGCTAGTTTGGAAAGTAGTTTGTAGCATATGAGTACATATCACAAACGTTGTTACTGTATTTAAGTATGGCGTCGCCCGCTGCCGGCTCTGGCAGCGCCGAAGGAGAGCGCGACTGCGCTTGGTGCAAGATTATGGAGCAAAAGCTATGCAAGAAACAATACGATGTAAGCTGCTGTCGAGTTCGGAAAAAACACCTACACCTTTGTCAACGATGCTTGCGACGGGTCATGAATTTGGCTGAGAAAAGTAACCGCTTCTTCCGGACTGTAGGCGTTCGACGCCTGCATGGAGCGGAAAGGCGAACGGGGTGACGAGGAATGCATGGAACTGGTGGGGCAACGTGTAATGCCAGGGGGATTGGGTGCTGATAGATGGAGTCCGGGCACGGCCTTCCTTACGGGAAGAAGAAAGAAAAGCCGCGGCCCCAACCATCCTGTCCCTCCCCCTCCCTTCCTTTCTTACATTCATGTCACGCCTCCTCCTGCTGACTCCTGGCCGCAGTTTGAGGCGTTGCGGGCCTGCATGGGCCAGAAGCCCTCCCTCTTCGCCATGCTGAAGGGAATGGTGCTCAACCCTTCTTCGCCGCCGCCTCCGCCTGCTCCTGCTGCCGAAGAGGCTTCAAAATAGGACCAGCGGGACAACCGCGCCGGTACGGCACCCGAATGGCTATGGGCGCTGGTGAATCCACCAGGCACCAGCTAGTACGGGCATGGTTGCCAACCCCTCTTCGCCTGCTCCTACTTCCCAGTAACTGGAGCCTGCTCGCCATGTTGCGTACCTGCATGGTCACGTTGTTCGCATGAACCCCCCTCGTCGCCGCCGCCGCCTCCGACTGCTGCTGCTGCTCCTCCTCCGCCGCCGCAGCAAGAGCAGCAGCAGCAGCACGAACCGCCGGTATCATCAGCGCCGACAGGGCCTTTCAGCGCGAGGAGGAGGTGGTGACAACACAGCGCCTGACGGGGCTTCAGACGGGGCTTCAGAGGTGATCACGTGATGCGTGACCGGACCCGTCGCTTCAAGCTCAAAACATTGGTGTGCTACCGGTGCCATAGAGTGGAGGGTCGTTGGGTCGTTGCCCTCCTTCCCCTCCGCTGCAAGTGGCCAGCGACCCGGGCGTTGTGTCGCCAACGTTGTACGACATGCCTGCGACCCCTGCTAGCACCTCCCTGCCAGCAGTAGTCCTCGTCTCGTAACACCCCTACGTTGCCATCCGTCAACTGTCAGCGCCAGGCATGCAAGCTGGCCGCATGCTTTGCTGGCGGCGGCTTGTTGGCTCTCAGGCTCGCAGGTCCGGACAGCGGATATAGCAAGCTGCCGTACTGATTTTTAGGTCGGCATCAAGGGCGGGCCTGTGCGCTGTATACGGTAATCGTGCTAATCATGGGGATTTGGTCATGCGATGATCTTGTAATGACGTGCGGACCTTTGTGGCGGGACGGAATTGCGCTGTCCAAAGCTGCAGAGGATGACGGTTAACGGTTGGTTTGATCAATGATTATTGATCAATGTGCTAGCTGGTGGTTGGTTTCTTTTTCCTTGCCACGGCACATACAAGGTGTTGGGCAGCATGTGGCAGCAAGTGCCTTATTGGGCGATGTGGGAAGGAGCTACGGTATGCGCGAATGGAAAGGCGAACACAGCGATGAAGCATTTGCATGAGCACAAAATGTGTTACAGATTGCATGCGGGGCCTTAATGTTGTGTGCTCAACTCAGCAGTGTTCGTATTTCCAACATCTTGTGTGTACGACTCTCGCGGCCAGGTTTCTTAACACGCACAAAGCCTCGAGCATGTGTGTACGGCAGAGCATGTTCAGCATGTTTACCCCGTGCTCAGGCCTCACCAGGCCACCTTAGAACCATGTTGGGGTCCGTTGAAAGTCGACTGACGTGAATCTGAGGCCTGTGCAGCCTCGAGCATGTGGGTCGGGGGTGACGGCTATCGGGAATGGCTGGCCACCCCAGGATTTGTAACCCTGATACCTAACACAGTCTGAAGACGGGAACGGAGGCTCAAAAGTTACATTGGTCAAACACCATGGCCTCCACGGGACTGTGAAGGAAAGTCCGTCAAAACACACACTTCCTCGAGCGTTGTGAAGTCGACGACCACATGCTTCCGTGCAACTCCCACAAAACGGTGCCATACCCTGCATCGTTCTCCGTCATTAGCACACGAAAGCATTCCAGCCCCTGCGGTTTCTTCAACCTGGAAAGCAATCCTCCCACCCCACAAACCGCTCTTTAAGCGCCCCCCAATAAAAACGAGTAACAGACAGCATCCTTCCTGACCCCATCCACCACCACCCACTTCCAAGACCCTCTTCCCCTCCCTATCACCATATAAAGACCGCATACCTCCCCACGAAAGCAAACAGAATGCACAAACGAAACCAAAACCCCAGGCGAAGTGCGCGGGGAGGGATTCTTGAGTCCGTAACAAACGATAGTTAACGATAAAAAGGTGATTGGTGGTTGTGAGAGGAAACATACGCACGAGAAGTGGCAGACGAGTGGCTGATGTTAACTTCACTCATTTCTTTTAGCCAGCACCTTAACGCAATGTTTCCTCGTGAAACGGAGGAGGCATGAAACTTCGTGACAAGTGTTGTTTGTTAATTTCAGTACTCGCCGCTATTAGACAGCAAGCCCTCAGGGCTGCACCAAACGGCCTACTAAACGTGAAAACGTGCGGCAACAGGGAATATCTCTATTCAGCTAAACACACACGCACCCGCAAAACACAGCAAAAACACCCCCAAGCTGCTTCTCTGTCCTCCCTCCCTCCCTCGCATAGCTTGTTCTTCTTCCTTTTGTTCTTCTTCTTCTTAACTCCGACATGTGTGACGTCTAAGGGACCCCCCTCGACAAGTCACAGGGAACAAAGGCAGCCACGGGGCAACCAAAGCAAGGCACACCAAACCTTGCCTCACCACCCCTTGCAGGCATCCTTGCGAAGAAACGTATCGATACCGTGAGGACGTGGAAATACTTTAGGGACACTGAAAGAACCCATCCGCAAAACCATAAGCCGTGACACCAGCCGCAAGACTCCCGCCCAGGGGCTAGCTCAAGCCGGCAGACGATTAACGCTGGTAACCAGCCTAGCGACCCAATCCAGGTTTACTCACGCCGTTCGGCTTAGCCAACAGCAAGCAGCTGTTTAAAACATCTGGCGTTGGTAAACGATAGACCGCGATTATTCCACGACCACCAAACCTTCACCCAGAAAAGCCAGCATCAGAGCAAAACCAACCCCGGGAAAACCAACCCACGCATGCCAGCTACTGCTCCTACTTCCAAACCGCATGACACATAGCGCTCGAAACACATGCAGCAATCGCCAACGCAAACGATGGTGGTGGCGACAAGACGACAAAAACAATGCTATACCAAGGCGGCAATCGCACAAGATACGGTAAGCCTTCCCAAGTATGTCAAGTATAATCATCATCGCGCATAAACGCCAACCTCCTCATCATCATCATCGTCCCCCCACCCAACGCTGCACTGCATCGTACGCTTGCGGAATCGCATATCACGGAGCAAAGCACCACAACCACCACCACCATCAGCACTGCAAACACAGGGAGCAAAGCGTCCGGGCTCGCAACGCGTGTATCACAACAAACCCCAACACACCAGATAACATCACACGCCCGCAGAATTCCTCCTCCATGCGACTTGGACTCCTCTCGTAAACGCGCATGTAGCCAAGGCACGAAACAACAACCCGACCCAAGCCATCAACCGGAGCACCCACCCCGAGGGAGGCCAACAACCAAGCAGCAACCAACTAGCGTGTTATAACTACAATTGCCGTTGTCGTGAAGCAACGTCAACTGCCAACCACCAACCGCCACACCCAAACCAACCACCGGGCGCCTCCAACAGCCTCATCATCAACTGCTGCTGCCTGCGTGTGCTGTGCTGTGCTGCGATTCTCACTTCTCGCCACAACAAAGCGGAAGGTAACGTCAGCACACAAAACCACACGCACGAGCTCGCTCGTTCCCGGCCCTATTAGCCACCCGCTCTAGCACCCGCCCTGCCCCATTACAACCGACTCACAACCGCCGCCTGCTCCGCCGCCGCCCCTCCCAGCGGCAGGGGCGGCGGGTTCCACATTGCGGCCCGCGCCATGTGCCTCCAGTCGCATGCGCCCTCATCCGGGTCGGTGGAGCAGCCCTCGTCGTCCCCCCCCATGGGCATACCCCACCCCTCCGGCAGACTGCCCTGCCCCGAGGCCACCAGGTGCTGTACGACAGCTGCCATGATGGCGGAGGAGATGGAACGGATGGCGGAGAAGGAGGGGAAGAGGCTGGGGAGACGCGTGCGTGTATTGGGAGGGGGGGGAGGGGGGATAGGATGGGAGTGAGAATGGGCGGGTAGGGAGGAAAAATTATATACTAAATGCAAACAACTAGAGTCCCAGACCCATAACCCGACTCATGCAGTAGGGAGGAGGAGGGGGGGGAGATAGGGAGAAGAGCAGTCCCTCCACGCGTGTGTCAATTCGATGCCACGTGTCAATTCATGTGTTGCATGCGCCCATGTTCCCGACACACACACACACACGCACCATTCCGTCGCCGGCGCGCGCACTCTCGTCTACATGCATTCTACTTCCAACCGTGCATTCGGCAGGAGACCTAGCAATTTGTTGACCTCGTCGTTCACCATTCGAGTTATTTTAACACACACATCCCGCCCCCCCCCCCTCCCCACACACACCTGCCGCACTGCAGCTCCTGCGGTGAGGCCATGGCGGCCAGCTGCTCTGCTGCCACCAGGAACACAGCCTGGCAGGGGGGGAGGGGGGGGGGGGGGGGGGGGGGGGGGGGGGGGGGGGAGGGGGGGGGAGGGGAGTAGTGAGGAAAGCGGTCGAGGATGAGGGAAGGGTTCCTAGGGTGACACCGACACGACAGCTAAAGCAGCAGGCAGCACTGATCGATGTCGCAAGGTTGCCGCCGACCCTATGCGCCGCCCTTTCCATTGATGACGTTAACCTGCTTGCCAGGCACGGCTAAACCACTAACTCGGACCTTTCCCCCCCCATCCCCCCCCACCCTCACCAGCGGAATGGTCTTAGCCTTTGTGAGCACCGCCGCGTGCCCCACCGCGGGGAAGATGTAGGCGTTATTGGCCTGGGGCGCCTGGTGCACAATACCCCGGCTGTCGGTGACGGGGTCGAAGGGGGAGCCGCTGGCAAACACAACACGGCCGTCCGTCCAGCTGGGTTGGGTCGGGTTGAGGGGGGGAGGATGGGGGGATTAGATACATCGAGCCGCGGAAATTTTGGAAAGGGGGAAGGGCAGCGAGACGCGTGGGAAGGGGGTCGGGTGCCGTTACGCGGTGGGAGTGCCGGAGCGCCCGTCTAATGGGGCTTCTGCCCCCGTCTAGTGCGCATTATCGCACCGCGGTTGGGTCTGTCTAGTCATTAATACTGGTGGATCCTCTTTCGCCCCTCCAACCCCTCCCCCCTTCCTTATCTTTACCCCCCTCCCTTAGTTGCCTCGTCAGTTTCCTCATTTTTACCTCACCCGCCCCCTCCCCTCCCCCCTCCCCTCACCTGACCGCTTGCTCAAAGGTGCACTCCGCCAGGTCGGTGGGGTTGGAGAGCGGGAAGATGATGGGGCGCTCGTTCAGGGAGGCCATGGCCTCGACAACCTGGGGAGGGGGGGGGAGAGGAGGGGGTTAGTTAGGGATAGATCATGATGAGAGGAGTACCAAACGCACGCCCCCCCCCCCGTCCCCCCATGCAACACGCCCCTACCTCTTCATCCCCCCCCTCCGTCCGTCCACCCCCCACCTCCCAACCCACCTCTTCATTGAAGGCCCCAGGCACTGCGCTGACCCCGATGAGCGCAGTGGGCTTCAGCGTCCGCACCGCCTCCAGCAGCGAGCCCACAAAGGGGGTGTCATGCGCAAAGGGCTTCTTGTGGTGCTGTGAGATAGGGGGTTAGGGGAGAGGGAGGGAGGGGCGGGGGATGGGAAAGGGATGAGCAAAGGGAGAGAAGGAAAAAGGAGGCGTACCAGGTGTCACTGCCCCCTGCGCCCCCTCACCTCACCTCAGCAATTCTTCTTCTTCGCCCCCGCACCGTCACGTTCTTACCCGGTGCCAGTGTTCTAAACACAGGCGCCCCTCCCTCCCCCCCTCCTCTTTCCCCCCTTCTCCTTCCCCCCAACCCACCTGCAGGTCCTTCCTGCTCGCCACCACCAGCCCCTTCGAGTCGAACAGGTGGCACCGCCGCCGAGCATCCTGCGGGAGGGGCGAGGGGAGGGGAGGGGAGGAGGACGGTGTTGGGAAAGGGGAGGGCGGAATGGCCAGGACACGGGGAAGCCATGACAATATACGTACACCTGTCCGCCCCTCCTCCCCCGTGGGTGTCACATGCTGAGCCCATGGAGCCTCGTCATTCAGTTTGTCAGTGTTTCTTTATTTTTACCCCTCACCTCCTCCGACAGCCCCTCCCGCCGATGCATGCAGTACGAGATGAGGGTGGCGATACCCGTGGCGGCCTCGCCTGGGGGGAGGGGAGGGAGGGGAGGGGGGTGGCTGGGTGCGGTGTGCGGGGGTACGGGAGGTCGTCAGAAAGGGTACGTTGCCGTACACTTGGATGTGCCGTACACTGCTCCCACGGCTTGCCGCCCCGCACCATCGCTGCTCCCCCCCTACCCCAGTCCCCCACCCCCCGGGCGTGAGCCCTCATACAGGGGGATACGGGATTGGGACTTCAGTTGCTTCACTTCTCATTCATTTCCACCCCTCAAACTCCTCCCCCCCCACCCCCACCCCCACCTGCCCCCAGGAAGAGTATCCGCTGCTCCGACAGTCGCCCGCCTCGCACCCGCAGAGCAGCCAGCACGGCAGCGAGAGTGATGCTGGCAGTACCCTGTTTGGGGGGGAGGAAGGGGAGGTGGGGGAGAGGGGGAGAAGAACCATGCATTAAATGATAGTGGCAACGCTAGGAGGTATAGGGGATGGGGTACATAGGGATACAAATGATGCGCAGTAGGCTGAAAAGTGGGATTGGGGGGATGTTATAGATGCAAGTGCATCAACGGAGTCCCAATCCGGGGGTGGGATTGGGGGAGGGAGGGAGTCGGTTTGTCATCTTCTGTTGGGCGGCCGCACGGTCCGAAGGTCTTCCCATGTCCCCGTGTCCCCAGGTTTCATCGCAGCTCACCCCCCCCCATGGGATATGGGATTGGGACTTTAGTTGTTTGCATTTCTTATATAATTTTACCCCCCCCACCACCGCAGCTCACCCCCCCCCCCCACCTGGATATCGTCGTTGAAGCAGCAGTGCGAGTGTTGGTAGCGCTCCAGCAGCCGGAAGGCGTTGTGGTTGCCAAAGTCCTCGAACTGCAGCATCACGTGGGGCTGCCACACCTGGGGGGGGGAGCGGGAGGCGGAGGGAGGAAGGAGGTGAGAAGTGCAGCAACCGGAGTCCCAAGGGGGGGGTAGGGTCGGGGGGAGGTGGGTAAAGAGGCAGAGTGGGAACGACGGGACTAGGTACGCAAGGCAGTGCAGGGGGGCAGGGCGAGCGCACCGGTAGTTAGCCCGCCCATCGTTATGGGAGGACTGCGGTATGTGTCGTACATTTTATGTCGTACAGTGGAATGTCGTACCTTGAGTGCGCTCATAAACTCCTCCACGAACGCGTCGTACTCGGCCTCCGAGGGCCGCGGCTGCCGCAGTCCGCGGTAGTCGGGGTCGTCACGCAGGGCTGGGGGGGAGGGGGGAGGGGAAAAGATATAGAGAAATGCATCAACGGAGTCCCAATCCCGAATCCCGACTCATGCAGTGAGCGCATTCGGAGACCAGGCGGGCAGAGACCAGGGAGGCAGGCGTGGAGGCAGGGAAGAGGAAGACAGACGCGCGGAGGCAACAACACAACACAACATAACCCGCATAACACGAGAACAACCAACTGTTTGTTATCAAACTTCTCATCTACTTCTGCCTTTGCTGACAGGAAACCGAACAACACAATGTCTTAAAGCAGTGCAGCACACACACCGCAGCGCTGCAATGGACGAGAAATGCTTCCCTTTCCAATGTGTCTTAACTGCTACAAGCAAACAGCAAGTGAGCAGCAAGGGATTGACCGACTGATAGCACTGCCTAGCCGTGAGGACAAAGCTATCCACCACCACCACCACCACCACCCACATACCTGCGTTGTTGGTCCCCACGTCCAGGGCGATCGGGAGGCACATGGAGGGATCCACCCCCGCAGCAGCGGTGTAGAGCTCAATCTTGCCCTCCGAGATGCCCATGCCGTTCTGTTGCGAGGTTGGGTTGGTGGTTGCAGTTAGTTAGTTAGTTGGCTAGTTAACGGTAGCGCAGGCAGGGGCATAGTTGGTTGGGGGGACAGCCGGTAGGCGGGAGGCGGGGCGGTTGCGACACTGTGGGTTGGGGAGTGCATGGCAACCGGATTGCAGGACGGCGACATTCGCGGTCGCCAAGGTGGGCCCTCCCTCCCACCCTGCCGGGTGGCCCCCACGCCCTCGTCCCATTCGTCCTCCCACTTCTCCACCTCGCAAACAGCTTGCTTCCCGCCCCGCCTCCCCCACATCTCCTTCAAGAGCCTCCGCCCCTACCCGACCCAGGCAGTCTCCCTCAGCCTCCCCCACAGGAGTGGTCCCTCAGCTCCTACGCACCTTCCCCGGGATGACCGCCCCACGCACGCCCGCCCTCCCCCCGCCCGCCCAGCTACTTTCGGTGGTAATGACGCCTTATCATACGGTCAGTTAAGGTTGTTTCCTCTTCAACTCTTTACCCCGCCCGGCCCCAGATCTCACTCACCGCCCCCAGATCTCCCAGGCCCAGGATGCGCTCGCCATCCGTCACCACGATAACGCGCACGTTCTGTTGCGGCCAGGAGCGGAGCTTGTTCAGGATGTTGCCCCTGCAGGCATTTGAAGGGGTGGTGAGGAAAGGGGTGGTAAGTAGATTGGAGGGCTTACTGACGGTTGCAAAAATGCACTCCGTCTTGGAGGTTGGTAAGCCGAAAGAAAAATCGTCAGGATGAAGAAAGTGGTTCGACTTTGTCGTGCGTGGCCTATGCATATGGGGTTGACATGACGGTTAACAGCACACATGCGAAGGGAAGGAGACACCACACATTACACACACAACGCCGAAAGGACTCGTGACAACCAGCGCAAACGTTATGTAGCAGTAATGACGCTAGCCTAGGTAACAGCGAACACGAGGCGCTGGATGTCATTTGTTCCATTCAAACCGAAGATCAAGCAACCCGACACTACAGGAATCAGGCCAAGCCCAGAACTTCGTAACAATAAGCTAATCCCATCAAGCCTTTTACAATGCAGTCCAGGCCGAGAAAAAATAACACCCGCAAGAGCCATGCGACTTAACCAACATAACATCCCGCGGGCGTAACGCAAAGTAACCGTGCTCTTGCAAGGACGAACAGGCTGAGTACATCGAATGCTACGAAGTAAACTCCGTAACCTGTGCGGTCAGCGCCGGTTTCCCATATCAACACGACGTGGCGGGGCGGAGCTGTGACGTGGCAGCGAACAGCTAACTCGCACCTGTCTTCCAAGCTAAGATAAAGACCACGCGTCTTGATATGGAGGGAATGGTACTCCTGGCACGCCTGGCCGACGGTTGGAGTGTAAATGAATGGCATGACCTTCTCCGTGGAGTGCACCATGAGCTGGTGGTACTGCGCAGGCTGCGTCTCACGCAGCTCTCGCAGGTGCATATACTTGTCAATGGGCCGGGGCCCGGCCGCAGGGAGGAAAGTATCTGTTTTTGGCATTGAAGAAAGACGAATTTGTGACAAGAGAGGGAAGTGAAAAGAAGCGCCAGGCAAGTCGTTTAAGTAGCAATGTATGTGGTATATGAATAGCCATCATGCATCTGCTCGGCCTTCGGGTACCTTCATTCCCAAGCGCGTCGCCAGCTGTCTGCAAATTCGGCAGGACGGCCGCAGAGTCGCGCGCTACGCAGTTCCCCATCCCGTTGGCTATTTCAAGAGGCTGCAAAACAGCTGATTGCGTCAGCGGAGCTGCGGCGCTCCCACCGGCGGCGAAAGCTCGGTCTCCTGCCTTCACTGACAAGTCGCTTTCAAAGGGGCTGCAAATGGCTTGACGAACAACGGTCGGGTGTCGTCGGAATCTAGGCAGCACGCACAGAAGGTTAGGTGGACGTACGAGCATAGCCGTCTTAAAGAAAGTTGATGAGCTCATTTTCACAATACTTAGGCGCTAGTGTTGAGTAGTCACGAGAACTATTGCTGGGAAAAGAGCATCCTAGGGGCCGAACTTTGAGTTGGCGTAACGCCCAATGTACGAGACACTCTTACTACAGAATGGTCCGAGCATACTTATAGGGGCCACGACCTTAAGCATCCTTATGTTCCAGGCGCAGCTAGCTTGCTTCAGCGAATTCATCTTCCTGTGACTGCATGTTGCTTTGTGTTGCCTGTCTTATAAACTAGAAGAAACCAAAAACAAGCACTTGCAGCATGCCCATGCCTTTATATAAGTTTAACCTATAAGACCAGGTATAACATAAAGTACGAGAAATGTGCCCGTCTTGTGCAGGAGCTTTGCCGCCCAGCATAAGAAGACGTCTACGTGTCGCGCCAGTTAGGCGTGCTTTGCCTAACCGACCGATAATCTATGCAGCATGCAAGTCTTCGCTGCATTGAAACTTGCTCTCACTATGTGGTCTCATTACGAACCTGAGGTTGGGTCCATCGCCGAGGGCTGCTAACTGTGACGAAGCCTAGATCTTGGCATTGTCCGTTCTGAGGACACATACTAGTTTTCCACTGAAGCAAAAGAGCTAAGCAAATTTGCCGGCCAAGGTTCTTGAGCGCAAATTGGGTCCACACACGACAGCGATTAGGGGATTGCCACAGTAACAGGACTTTCAATTACAGCATCTTGAGTATCTTGATATACATTTACGCAAACTGATTCACGAAATAAATCTATAATTCCAGGATCGCTGATGCTGGCCTGATACTACCTGAATCGCCCTTATCACGCGACCTGCAGCCAGCGCATAGCAAACACCATGCTTGCATATGGCAGCAGTGTTGCGGCACCAAGGAATGCTTTGCCTGGCCATCAGCTCGCGGCGCTACCTCGACTGGCGTATGCTGGCGTGTGTAGGAGCCGACTTTCGGCCGGCCAATTCTCGCATCTAACTCCAGTACACCCTGTGCCGTCAACATGCCGGAATATCAAAATACCAATAGCCGCATCGGCTGCTGCAGCCACTCTTTACACGTCAGAATTGCAGCCATGCACGACGCAGCAGCAGCAACAACAACTCGGGATCTTTGAGGCCTTGCGGAGATGCCGGGCCGTCTTTAGCTGCTTGGCCTTTTGCGCAGTATATGCGCTTCTATCCTGGGGCTCGGCGCCGGGAGCACCTTTTGCGTCGGCTGCGTTGACATTGGGACCTGATGCGCAATCGACGGGTGGGTACCGCGACCCTTCTGTGAAACCTCACCCCTCTCACCCACAACAGCACCCTTCATGGATGCACGGTACACTAGACGCCGACCCAGATGGCATGCCGTGCAAATGCAAGGTCGACTGATCTCATCTCCCGCCGGGGCTGCTGCCCCGGTGTTTGCGGATCTGCATTACCCCCACACACATCCACCCCTGGATCTCGGCAGATCTCCCCTTCCCTACTCCTGACACAGCTCCTCGCTTCTTGGCTACCTCACTTCCGTCCCTCCATTCCCCAGCTCACGCTTCCCAACCTTGCAACGTCCTCCCCTACTCAACCCACCTCTCGCCCCGCCTCCAAACCTCCCTCCCCCCCTCTCCCCCCTTTCCTCCCCCTCCCCCTCCCTCCTGCCAGGCATCACCAGTGCCGCCAAGTCCGCCTGGGCGGGGCTGGCAGCGGGCTTCCTGCACACGCTGTGCGGACCCGACCACCTGGCGGTGAGGGGGGACCAGGGTGGGGGGGGTGGGGGATGGGGGAGAGGGGGCAGGGGGTGAGAGGGGGAGGGCGGTAGGGAAATGGGAGGCAGCAGCAGCAGCTGGAGGAGGCGGAGGAGGGGGTAATGGGTGTGGTTAGGGTTGGTTGTGACCGCATTGGGTACATTGGGTTGCTGGGCAGCAGTCCAGGCAGCAAACCTTGCAGTTGTTGCTGGTGTGGTGGGAGGCGGTGGGGGTGGCGGCTGTCGGGAAGGAAGGGCAGCTCCGGAGCCGCCGATGTGGAGTGGTCAGTGTACCGTAGCTGGGGGATGTGGGTGGGATGATTAGGTCTTAAGATCTTGCGGAGATCTGGATCTGCAAGAGAGAGGGATAGAAGGAAAGGCAGGGCCGCTTCCTATCCGCGTTGTTTTGCCCCAGCCTGTGGCTTCCTATGGTTCGGTCTTTGGCACTCAACCCCAACTCCCCTCAACCCACTGGGTGTTCTCCTTTTCCACCCCACCCCCCAGGCCCTCACCCCTCTCACCATCGGCCGTCCCCGCTGGGCCGCCTCCGCGCTGGGGGCGCTGTGGGGCTTCGGACACTCAACCGGACAGCTCATACTTGGGCTGGTGTTTGTCGTACTCAAGGTGGGGGAGGGGGAGTACGGCAGGAGGGAGGGGGGAGTCGGGTCGTACAGCTGCATGGGTCATGATGACGCCTTATCACATATTCAATTAGTCAATTAGTCATTTACACCCCCTCCTACCCCCCTTCACACATTGGAATTTCTTCCCCCCCAGGAGCGCTTCCACGACCTGGTCCCTCTGCTGTCCAAGTGGGCGGGGGTGGTGGTGCCGCTCACCCTCATCGCCATCGGCCTCATGGGGGTGTACGAGAGCTGCTTCGAGGGACCCACGGGTCACCAGGCGGCGGAGCAGGAGGCGGAGGCGGTGGGGCTGGCGGTGGCAGGTGTGTGTGTGGAGGGGGGGCGGTAAAAACAAGGAAACCTGGGGGGTCTGTGGAGGAGGAGGAGGTGGAGGAGGAGGCGGGGGCGGGGCTAAGCGGATGATGGAGGCGGAGGGGAAAAGAAGAGTACCCAATGTCAGGAGGAGGAGGAGGAGGAGGAGGAGGGTGACGTCTGGAGCGCTCTTTTGCTCCTTCGTGCTCTACATTGCCGGGCCTTTTGCCCGTTGCGTTTTCCTGTTGCTTCACATTCCCAGCTGCACAACTCCCCACCTACCCCCCCCCCCCCCCGCGCCTCCCCCATGTCCTCCCCCCCTTCCCCAGGAGGCGGCTCCATCGCCGCCTCCGTCCCCGCCGCCTCCTCCCCCTCCCTAACCGCCGGCCTCAGATCCGGTCTGGGCACCTACGCTACGGGAATCGTGTACGGCCTGCAACCAGATGCGCTGTTCGTTGTCGTACCGGCGCTAGCGCTCCCCACCAAGCTAGCTGCGTTGTCGTACTGCAGCAGCTTCGTGGTGGGGACAGTGGCGGCCATGGGAGGATACACACTGGTCATTGGTGAGCAGGGGTTTGGGCTGCTGGGTGCTGCTGCTGGGTGGGGGCTGGGATTCGTACGGGTAGTTGTCAGATCAGGTGGGTGTATCCGAATGGCTCCAGTTAAGGGGGGTAATATTTGAGACAGGGTTTGGTTACCGGTATATAGAGGGAGGGCCGGGTAGGAGATGAATGAGTGCGTGTAAGGGTTGGGAGTACGGTATGGGAGGGGTGGAGAAGGGAAATGAGCCACATGTGCGGGTTGTACTGAAACCAGAGACCCCCAATCCTCCTCGGTTCCTCCCTAACAACCCCCCTGCTGCCATCCCCCCTGCTCCTCCCCACCCCCCTCCCCCCCTCCGCGCATGCAGGCACCACCTCCCAGGCCCTCATTCGCGAGCAGCCCTGGTTGCAGCGGCACCTCTCCACGCTGGCCTCGGGGGTGGCCATTGTGGTGGGGCTGGTCATGCTGGCGGGCGGGCTGGGGCTGCAGCTGCCGGGGCTGGGGTGAGGAGGGGGGGAGCAGGAGGGGAGCAGGAGGAGGGGCATGGGAGTGTGTGCATGAGGAGAGGAGAGGGAGAGGAGGCAAGCGTGGGGGGTAGCAAAGAGGAGGACCAGGAGGAGGGGCAGGAGGGCCAGGAGGGCAAGACACGAGCGGTATGTGTGTGGGGCACCCGAGGCTGGAGGATGCAGGGGGGTCGTGAGGGGCGTGGAAGGAGCGGGAGAAACAACCGGAATGGCGGCAACTGGAACGTGTTGTTGTGCTCGGCTGTGAATGTACGGCCGCGTTCTGGAGTATGTTGGGTTGGGACGTTTCTGCCGTTGGCAGATGAGCGAGGAGTAGGGTGGACGCTGTGGTTTGCTGCAGGCGAGGTACGGCAGGCTAGTACTGATCATTTGTCGTACTGATAAAGCTTGCAAAGCTTCAAGGCCTCCTGGACGGCCCCAAGAGACCGCAAGTGTCCTACGGCTGTCTCTTGACGCGAGTTGTCACGTGTGGCACATGCGCACGGTAACGACACCTAAGCCGGACCTAACTACCGATACCACCAACCCACCTAGGCAAGGGAGGTGACAGTAGATGGGTGGGTGCAGGCCCCTGTGTGGGGTTTGGCTAGGGCTGCGGCATACAGCAGCTAACACTTGGCGGAGGCGGAGGGGGAGGCCGATGGGCGGGACGTTGGCGAGGAAGATGGGCTGCTACAGGGGACCGAGCCGCGGAAACCCAGACCGGTACATCCTCCCCGGCTGCAGGGGGGTACCGATAGCAGGCAGGGGTGGAGCCAGGGTTATGGCGTAATAAATGACGCCAAACGCCCTAATAAGGGTTTGTGTCCGTATTGCCGTACGGTGGAGTGTGGCGAGCGTTGCAGATCCCTTCTTATGCGTGCCTCGGGGTTTTCTTTTGAGTGTGTTATCATTGTGTTTTGGGTTTTTTGAGTGACCCACGGGTCGTTGCGGGGCAATGGGGTGAAGTGGGACCAGACAGACAATTGGCGGTATACACACTGAGTTGGAGGTAGGGGAGAGCGGCCAGAAGCGGCTTTTGGGATAATGCGTTATGTCAAGAAAACTGTTGTGAGTGGGAACGTACTGTGATTGCCGTGTTTGTGACGGCCGCTGGCACGTGGACAGCCCAATCTGTAATAAGCACAGATTATCCGGTTGTACGGTTAGCTCATGACATGACGCGACTTGATATATACAGCTAAATAGTGGATACCACCACCACGCAAAGCATGGAAAAAGACCCATGGGTCACGTCGCAGCATCGCTCGTTAATCCGCGCATTGAAACCTGCAGCACAGTATATATCACAGACACCTGCAGCGCCCTCGCCCTAATGCAACTGCATGCCTGTCGTACGACATCGGCACGGCACGCACTGTGAAACACACACGACGCCCTCCTCTCTTGTTTTCACTCTCACTCGCGCACTCCCTCAGATGTCCCAACACTCGCTCCCCCACCCGCCCGTATTAGCTACCCACACCACCATCTAGCAAGGGCCTTCGGAGCTCATCACCCTCATCCTCCCGCCTCCCAGCCTCATCCTCCACCCCTCCAGCTGCACTCGCACTCGCACCTCTCCTCTTCCCATCCTCTTCCAAGGTCCCAACCGCCACCGTTGCCGTCGCCCCTCCTCCAATGCCTAATCCCGATCCCATTCCCGTGCAGAACCCTGACTCCACATCCCCACCTTCCCCTCTCCCCGCACCTACTCCTCCCTCCGTCTCCGACGCTGCTCTTGCCGCTGCCCCTTCCGCCTCCGCCTTCCTCCGCTTCCTCCCCTCCTTCCGTACCCGTACCGCCAACCACACGCAAAACACACACGCACACGCCGTACCGCCCGCTGCCATTCCGTACGGCAGCCATCTCCTCATCTCCTGCGTGCCGTACCGCATCACTAACCACCACGCAACCGCCTCAATGCAACCGACCCAGATCACGGCGACGCATGTCGCCGCGACCCAATTGCGAGCCAACCGTAACGGCTCCGCGACCGCTCGTCTTCTGCATTCCTCCATGACGGGTTTCGGAACCAACGCGATTGCGCCCGCTATCATGAGAGGCAGCAAGATGAGGTCGTCTAGGATCCCGAGCACCGGAATGAAGTCGGGAATGAGGTCGAGGGGACTGAGCGCGTATGCCAGGACCAGGAATCCGAGGGCCTTGGCGGCGAGGGGGGTGTCCGGGTGCCGCATGGCGTAGTAGACGGCAAGGACCTGGGGTGGCGCGGGAGGGGGAGGAAGCAGGGAAGGGGGGTGTTAGACCATACTGAACCAGAGGAAACCATATGGGGGGGGGTAAGGCAGGCGGTTAAGAGCAGGCGTACAAGAAGCAAGCCAGCATGAGTGGGCACAACAAACATCATGAGTCCTGGGGCTCTTGATCCCCCATTACCTCGCGTTTGAGCGCCTTGGCCGCTTTCTTCAGCCGCTGGTACCAGGAGAGGCCCGGCTGGGCTGCATCCTGCGAGGTGCGAGTTCTGCGGGTGCCACCTGGGGTTGCCGAGGCGGTGTCGGGTGCAGATGCCGGCAACACATTATCCGAAGTCGTAGCGTTGTATCGCTCTGCAAGGGTGTCGCAGCATAGGAAGGGAGAGCAGGCAAAAGGGAGGATATACAATAGGAAGGAGTTGCAGGGGCGCGTACCTACACTAATGGTTGTGTGGATGTGCAGGTTTGGTGATGGAGGAGGGGAAATGCCCGCCAGGGGTGGTGAGGTAATCAGTAATGTTGAAGGTTAGGGAGGCGGGTAGAATGCTTGTGTACAGAAGTATGACACTCGTGAAGCCTAAGAAACTGTCGGGAGGAGTCGAAGTTAAGCGGTCTTGTACAAAACAAGTGAGCCCAGGGTTTTATAGCGTATTCCGAAGAGCCCAAGCTTTATAGTATATGTACAGTTTGCTGGGTATTGGGTTGATCTGACAAGTAAATCGCAGACGAGTACCTAGGAAACGGCATGCCCGACAGCTTGGCCATTATCAGCACCCCAAGGCGCACCAGGCTCGCAAGCGGGCTCCTTAGGAGCAACCTTCTCATCCATGTAACGGATCTCCGGCGTCTCCTTGAAGGTTACAGTCTTCCGCTCGGAGTAAGTTACCGGTAGGTTGGAAGACGTGGACGCGGAACCTGGTAGCAGCGCCATCAAGGACAATTCTGCTGCCCTACATAACTAAGACAGGAATTGCTGAACAAGAATATAAACAAAAGGGCTCGAAACTTCCCCCGCTGCCTTTCCTGCAGGTCAGGACCCTTGTTCGTCCTGGGCGGCTACGGTGATATAAATAGACGCTGTCAGACGCACGCTTCACTCCCCTGTCTGGCTCAGAAGTTTGCACTCGCGAATTCCTTGTGCCGGCCGATCTAGTTGTCCTAGTACGACTGACAGTTGAGCAGGCTGAGTAACAACAGCCGATATATCCAAGGCGGAGCTAATTTATGCAAGAGGTTTTCTCCACCGCCGTTTACTACTGCAGCTGATCTGTTACATAAATCTCACAACCATCTGCGGTCCATGCTGCCATGTCAGTTTTCAGACAAGTTTACTAGTTTCCAACCAACATTGCTGCCGCGATAATGGCCGCAGACACCGCTCCGCAGTTATGCCTACCATCACAAACGACCCTAGCAAGGGAAACCTACAACACAGCCCTCCAGCGCGAACCCTGCGGCGCCAGTCGTGAAGTCTCTCCACCGGACCTTTGTTAAACAGCGAAACCTTCCCCACCCCTTCTCAGTCGCCGTTCCCCCGCACGCATACTCCCCTCCTCTACCACGGCTTCGCATCGCCTCCCTCATTCCCGGAAGCAGCACGGCCCGGCCAGCCCTCCTCAAGCTCCCTATCACGCTTCTCCTCCTCCTCCTCCCTCCCTACCTCCTCCTCACAGTCAGTTAGTTGTTTCCACCTTTCCCTCCCCCTCCCCCTCACACCGCCCCCGCCTCCCCTCCCTCCTCCACCTCCGCCAGCTTGCGCAGGTTGAACTTGGCCAGCTCCTTGTAGCCGTTCACCACCGCCATGGCGCAACCGTTGCGAACCATCTGCACCAACACCACCTTGGCGGGCGCCTTCAGGTTCACCTGGGGGGGGAAGAGAGGGGGAGGGGGTCAAAGACCATACCAAACCATAGGAGACCACAAGTTAGGGCAAAGCAATGGGGGGGGAGGGGGAGACAGACGTGTCGGAGGGGAGAGCACATGACAAGTAGTGCCGCAACTGGAGTCCCAATTCCATATTCCGACGCATGCAGCGCATATGGAGGGGGAAGGGGTTTGGGGGAGGGGAGAAGACCCAATGTGTTGATGAATGAGGATGACAAACGAGACGACAAGCTCCTGCTGAAGCGGGAGGAGAGAGGTGGGGGACGGGTGGCGGGGATGCGGGTGGCAGAGGTGCTCCCTGCACGACGACATGGGCCGGGAGATGAGAGGGTTAGGGGTTTGCCCTACACCTGTGGTATGGTCCTGTGGTCTTTGATCCCCCATCCCATCCTCCGGTGGTGTTGACGCCCCGTCATACAGCTCGACAGTTTCTTCTCCTCCCTAACCCCCCTTCCCCCACTTCTTGGAACTTCGTTGCTTCACTCCCCCTCCTCTCCCGCCCTACCTTGTGCGGCGGCGTGCTGATGGCCGCCGTGAACGCATCGATCACCGCCAGCCGGTCGAACCCCTCCGCACTGCGGTGCTCGTACTCCACACTGAACTCAATGGGGGCAGCGTCGGGGCCTGGGGGGGGGGGGGGGGGGGGGGGGGGACGAGAATACCCAATGTGTTGAATGGCAATGGCAATGGCAATGGCGAACCAGACTGTATCCCTCCCTGCCCCCCTCCCTCCCTGTCCCCCCCTCCCCTCCCTCCCTGTCCCCCCCCCCCTCCCTCCCTGCCCCCCTCCCTCCCTGTCCCCCCCCCCCCTCCCTCCCTGCCCCCCCCCCCTCCCTCCCTGTCCCCCCCCCCCTCCCTCCCTGTCCCCCTCCCTCCCTGTCCCCCCTCCCCTCCCTCCCCCCCTCACCCTCAGGGAAGTGCCCCGCCACTGCCCGGGGAGCAGTCGCCCGCACCTCCTCCAGCCCCGCGAAGCAAGCGTGCGTCACCGGCAGCAGCCGAACCAGGTGCCGACCAGGGACCTGGGGGGGGGTGCAGGAGGGGAGGGGGGGGAGGAGGGGGTTAAAGATAAGGAAACTGACGAGGCAACTGACGGGCTGTATGACAGACATGATGGCTTCACCATGGGGAGGTAGGAAGGAGGGAGAAGGAACCAAGCGTTGAAAGGGGGGGAGGGGGATTATGGAGGGGTAGGGGAAGAGCATGAGCATGCGTGTGACAAGGCGCCATCCAGTGGGGTTGGGACGGGGCAGGGGAAGGCAGGGGGGTTAACAAGAGCTCATGGTGGACGACTGTGCCCTTCCCCTCTCCTTTCCCACCGCACATACTCGGCCCCGCACCTGCACCGCCTGTCCCCCGTGCCTACACACACACCGGCTGCTCGGCAGCCGTGGGGCGACCCATGCTGGCAGAGCTGCCCCGCCCCACGGTTAGGTGGCTGCCCTTGTTCCCCCCACACACCAAATCCTCCCCCCCCCCTCCAGTGCTTCACCTCCATTACCGCTATCTACTCCCCACCCCCGCCCGCCCCCCCCCTCCCACACCCCCGCCCCCCCCCCCCTCCCACACCCCGCCCCCACCTGCTTCCGCTGCTGCGTCTCCCGCAGGATGGACAGCGCCACGTCCACCGGGCCGGGGGAGCCTGGCGGGGGGGGAGGGGGTTAGGGGCGGGGGGTAAAGTAAAGAGGGGCGGGAGGGGGGGAGCCGAGAGGGAAGCAGGGGGTAAGTAGAGGGCAGGGAGATGAGTGTTGCCGCTCGTTCCTCTCCACACGCACGCACACGCATACACCGGCCGCCCACGCCCAGCCCCCAGCACCCGAACAATGCGTTAAGCACCCACTCGGTACCCACCGGTCAGGGTCGTGTTTCCGCGGCTCAGTTTACCCTATCCCCCACCACCCGCCCCCCCTCCCTCCCGCCCTGATGACGCCTTATCACACAGTCAGTTAGTTGTTTCCTCTTTACCCCCGCCGCCACCCACCACCCACCCACCGGGCTCAGCTTACCCCCCCCCACCACCACCACCCCCACTTATCTATATTTTCCCCCACCCGCCAACCCCACCCCCACCCGCCACCCACCCGGCTGTGCGGGCGGGAAGACGATGTACACGCAGCCCTTCACTCCCGTGCGGTGCGCCCGGAAGCGAGCCCCGCTGTGCGACTTGAGCTCCTCCAGCTCGGCAGCCAGCAGCGCAGCGATGTCCTTGCTGCCGCTGCCGCTGCCGGCATCGGGCTTAACATCAGCCTCCGTGGGCGCCGCCGCTGGCGCTTTGGGCTGCGGCGCCTCAGCCTTCGCCTCCGCTGCCTCCGCCGGTGCCGTCTCCGCAGCAGTGGCCTCAGCCTGTGCTGTCTTGCCGCCCTCATCGTCAGCAGCAGCAGCAGCAGACTCAGCGGCGGGTGCTGCCTCCGCCTCCGCCGCTGGTGGCTGTTGTACGGCAGTGGGTGCTGCGGGTGCTGCGTCAGCCGCTGCAGGTGCTGCCGCCGCTAGCCTGTCGTAGTGCTGCATGTGTAGAAGGAGAAGTGCCGTGCAATGCAGTTACATCGAGAAGTAAGGAAAGGACGTGCACTCCGTCTATGCTCGTCCCCAGCACGCCCAACAGTTACAACGCAACACCACATGCCGTACACCCACGTGCAAGTGGGTGCGCCGTACTACGTTCATGGGGTAGGTACTGTATGTACGGCATATACGACACGTACCTCCTCAATGAGCAGCAGCGCCTCATCGCCCGCCTTGTCCTCCCGGCCGGCATCGCAGGTGACCAGGATACCCTGGGCGCTGAGCGGAATGGCCTGACCGCTGCCACCCCGAGCTTGCTGTGTGAGTTAGGCAGCAGGTCAACAAAGGGGAGGTGCAACAGGTCAGAAGAGAACAGAGGAAGGAAGTCTTCACAAACAGCGACGAAACGTTGGGACGTTTGTGCATCAGATGAGCACCGTGATGGGATTGATAAGCATTGGCGGTATGGGTCCCTTGGCAGCGAAACCCGGAACTCAACTATTTTGAGAGAATAAGGCTCGTGAATGCCGTATTATCCAACATGCATGTTTTCTTTTGAGGACAAGTTCGTATACGCAGTCGTGGTTAAGGCGTTGCCTGGTGCGGGTGTTAAAGGAGCAATGCCGAACGGTTAGACCGCCGCCAGTCCTTATTTGAGCTTACCGCGTAATACTTTGCTTTCTTGTTAGCTCTGTCGCCACCTTCACCGCCGCCACGCCCACCGCTACCGCCTCTGCCGCCTCCCCTGCCTCCTCCTCTGCCTCCTCCCCTGCCTCCAAACTTGCGCTTCTTTTGGTCTTGCTCTGGCATGGCCGCGACGGCAAAGAGTTAAGGCAAAATTGGGTTCAGCAAAAGAAGAATAGCAACACTGCGATACAGGTATGCCAAGCAGTAGCATCTTTCCAAAGGAAGAGGGCATTGTCGTACAGGGATGTTTTCCGATGTCGCGATTAGCATGTCCAGTTGCATACAACATAAAGAAATACCTTAATACTGGTATTGGGGCAAGTTTTAGTGGCATTCTACAAGGATCGCTACTTTTCTGCCGCCGACTCCACGTCATTCTTCGCGAAGGGTGATCACTTGTAGTCCCATACAATTGTGTGATTGACTGCACCCTGCAACATCTGTACGTTATTAGCCTAAGATCTTTACAAAGCACAAGCTGGAGCCAAGCTAGGTGGACAATTCCTGTAGCTAGCCGCCAATACACAGCGCAGGACAACGTAATCAGGACAAGTGTCAAGTGCCATCACTAAGGGCTCGCGCAGCCGTCGGTTCTATATTAGCCTAGCGCAGCGGCGTGTCGTCGTGACCTACATTGTCGCTCGGTTAGTGCAATATGGGAAAGTTGGAGCGTAAGGAGGCTAAGATTGAGCGAGAGGAGACGAAAAAGGTCACAGCGAAGGCCAAGGCGCAGAAGGACGCCGAGGTGGGTTCTTGATTGCATCATTCCGTTGCTGATGTCCAAGGGCTTCGCCCGAGGATAGCCGGTGCCTTACACCTGCATGTCATACCCGCCAACCACCTCCAAAAGGCGCCCTTGCAAAGCCTCTCTTTCGTAAAACTCGAACCCCGGCTCACCCATGCCCACCATTACAGGACGCCTACTGGGCCGCGCACGGCGAAAACGACAAGTCCAAGGCTGCTAAGAAGCGCGAGGAGGAGGAAAAGAAGCGCGTCGAGGCAGCCGCTAAGAAGGCGGAGGCGAAGCGGTTGGCGGATGCGGAACTGGACGAGATCAGCCGGGCCAACAAGGCTAAGGCGGAGCGAGCAGGGTCACAAAAGGTGGGGGAAGTGGTCCAAAGGGGAAACATCTTACCGCATCATCAGCCCTCGCATCTACCTCCCACCACCGCTCTTCCCCGCTGTAACCCTCCCTTTCCCTCCACCACCCACCCTCCCACCTGCTCCCCCCAGGTGACCCACTTCCAGCTGCAGCAGCAGCGCGAGTTCGAGGAGCGCGTCAAGGCGGAGGCGCAGGCGGAGCGCGACATGGCCTCGAGGAGGGAGATGAGCGCGGAGCAGTACGCACGACAGGTGGGTGGGCGGGGTGGGGTGGGGCGGGGTGGGGTGGGGCGGGGTGGGGTGGTGGGCCCCAAGTGGCGGGAGCACCCTGTGTGATGGTGGGGCGTGTGAGGGTGGGGTTGGTGGTGGTTGGTTCGGCGGGAGAAGGAGGAATAGGCGGTAGGAAGGGGCTGATGCGGGGTGCTGTGTGAAGCTGCTGAGTGAAGTGGACTGGACAGGCAAGGCTGGTGTTGCGCTCCTGGTGGTATGTGTTGTGTGCGAGGCGAGGTGTGTTAAGAAAACCGGCCGCCCCTGCAGTGCCCGGCTCCTCCCGCCCACCGCTGTCGCTGGCCTCGCCATTCGCCAGAAGCTCCTTCCTGCGCCCCTCCCCCCAACTCACTCTTTGCATGCGGCTCCTCCCTCCCTCCCTCCCCTCCCACCTCCAAACTCCCACTATGCATGCCTAATCCACGTATCCATGCACCTGCACGAACCTGTATCTGACTTGCACGTACATATGTTAAGAAAACTGGCCGCACGTACATGTGTTAAGAAAACTGGCCGCGAGTAGGAACATACTGTGTGTTAAAATAACTGGCCGCCATGTGTGTGTGTGTGACCCGCAGATCGAGACTGAGAACCTGAACCGGGCGGTTGAGGCGGTGGACGCGCGCGGTGTGGACGCGGCGCTCAAGGTGCTGACGGTGAAGGAGGAGGAGGCGGACAAGCACCCGGAGAAGTGAGGGGGGAGGGGAAGGGCGGGGGGGGCGAGGGGTGGAGGAGGAAGGGAAGGGGGTCAAGGATCATACCGAAGGGAGGGGGGAAGGAAGAGAGGCGGAGCAGTCCTCCGCTGCCTCAACCCAGTGTCATCACTCCCTGTCTGGGGCCTCGCTCCCTGCCATTCCCAACCTCCCCAATCTCCTCTCGCACAGCACATGAAAACAAGAACGGACCATTCCCTTCACACCCCCCATCCACCACCTGCTCCCCCGCCCTCTCTCTCCCCTCCCGCCAGACGCATGCGAGCAGCATGGAAGGCGTACGAGGAGCGGCTGCTGCCCGCACTCAAACACGACAAGCCCGGGCTCAAAATGTCGCAGGTAGAAGGGAGGGGTGCACACCTTCCGTACACCTGCCACTCCCTGTGGCGGCACTCCCCTCCTCATTACCCAACACATTGGGTAGTCTTCCGTTCCCCTCGCCACGTCCCACGTCTCCATCCACCCCCTGGTGCACGGCTCGGCAGCAAGTTCCGGACCGGAAGCCCTGACCGTCCCGCACTTGCACAGCACGCACTCTCTCTTGCCGGGCCATATAACCTTTCTAACACTCCCTCCTTTCCCTCGCCTCCTCTCCCTCCGGCCCCCCCCCTGGGTATTCTTCTTTTCCCCTCCCCCCCCCCTCCCCCCCCCCTCCCGCTCCCCCCTCCGCTCCCCCCTCCGCTCCCCCCTCCGCTCCCCCCCTCCCCCCCCCTCCGCTCCCCCCCTCCCACAACAGTACAAGGACATGCTGTGGAAGTCCTGGCAGAAGGCGCCCGAGAACCCACTCAACCAGGCGCAGCTCGCAGCGCCCTCACCCTCCAAGTAACCAAACTAGGACGCCAAATAGCAACAATAACAGCAGGAGCAGCGGCAGCAGCGCCTGCGGGATGGGGAATAGGAATAGCAGCTGCAGCAGTGGCAGAGGAAGGGCGAGGAAAGCAGCTGTGGCAGTAGCAGCGGCGGCGGCTTGATGTAGCAAAATAGGAGGCGGTAGCGAGGGCGGTGGCGGCTGATTGGTAGTGCAGGGCACGCAGCCGTTGTGTAGTAGTTAGGGAGGTGGAGGTGGTTGTGTGGCGTTGGTGGCGGCTGTAGCAGCCCTGCAGTGATGATGAAGATTGACGACGAAGGATGCTCAGGTGGCGGCGGCAGAAGCAGCGGCAGCGATGTGTGTCGTGGCGCTGTAGCACGGCGGGGGGTATAGCAGTCGCGGCGGGGGGTATAGCAGTGGTAATGGTAGTGATGATGGTGGCGGTGCAGTAGGCGCTGCAAAGCCGCGGAGCTCGGAAGAATGGAAGAACATGCACTCCCGCCAGGCCTCGACTGGTTATGGTTATGAAGCTCGGCTACACGACTGTTACGGTTGCCAGCGGACCACCGCAGTCTTGACACTCACCACGTTGTGGAGTCGAAAGTTGAGATGTGTAATGGGCTGGTTGTGAACCTTTCACGCAATGCCTTGGACGATGGTTCTCAACTGCGTGCTTTTGCCTGAGGGGCGTTCCTCGCTTCGTGGATGTTGTGCTCGGTTGACCGGAACCGTGTTTCCGAAAAGGTCGTGCTTGGCTGACCGAAACCGTGTTTTTGAAAGGGTTGGGACTGCTTTGCTGATATGGGTTTCGCATAATCGAGTGATAAGGGAGAAGGGGAGAGAGAGGACTCGCGTCGAAATCCGTGCTGCTTGCAGTCAGAAGGGTCCGGTGGGGCTGCAACGTCGAGAAGCGACTGCAGCAGTAGCAGCACGGGGAGCTGTGGGGGTGTGCGTCGGCTGCTGTGTGACTGCTGTTGAGGGGGCTTGCAGGTGGAAAAGCGCGTCTTGGTGAATGTTGTGGTGAATGTCACCCGATCACCCGAGCGTGCTTGGGCAGAGGTGGTGGGAGGACGCGGTCGGAGCTGCGTGTAATGCTACGTGGATGCGGAAAGGCATATGTCGTTGCCTCCTGCCATCTAAACCCAAAGACCAAGCTGCTCTGTCTGGGGACCAGCGGCAGGATGATATAAAGATTTACAACGTTTATTTACCGCGTTCATTCCGTGAGATGGGAAGAACCTAGGATGTGTGTATGGCATCATAATACCTGCCGCACGCAATCTCACCAGCACCAAATCAACACACGCGGGTTTATTAGAGCCATAATGTTGCACCGTAAACCCCCAGGGTATAAGGACCCATGATTCACATCAGGACAACAACAACTTGCTGGGCCGTACCCTACGACGAACGGATGCACGTTAGAAATAGAATTATGATAGCACCGGTATCAACAACTGATATCCCTTATCCTCCAAACTCCGACTTTTGGTATAGTTACTAATCGTCACACCTGCGCGCCAATCGCGCTCGACTAACACAACACGTTTAGGATTTTGTAGTACGGAATGGGACTACATTATTATGGACGTATACTCGCAGACGCCGCTGCCTATACAAGGGGCGACATACCCGGCGGGTGGTCCGTTTAATAGAAACGCCGTAATAGACCGTCTAATATGTGAGAAGAAGCATGTGCGTGTGCATACATGTCAAAGAGGATGCGTGTGGTGATCGGCCAACATTGCGGCGTTCCGCGGCTCTTCCCCCTCCTCCTCTCCACCATGTGAAACAAAACGGAGTCCAAAACAAAACCAACGGGCCAAGACGCCTCTGAAGCTCCATAACCACGCGAAGGGATGATGGATTGATGATTGTACTGGTGATGCTATTTATTGTAAATGGCAAGAGCCTTGTGAAAGAGATGCTGCCAAAAATATTAGGCGCCTACAGATGCACTAAAAGGACGATGGGACGGGACCGCTGCCGCCTAACAATGAAACCTCCCCTCCCCAGACGCCACCATACAAGCATGGCACCGGAAATGACTATCCCGCGCACATCACAACGCATCCTGTCGCTGTGTAATTGTAATATGGGTCCGCTGTCGGCCCTTCAACAATCAAATGGAAAGCCAATGAAACGCAACCGACAGCAGGAAGGCGTCGGGCGTTATGTGCGTGTCACACGTTAACACTCTTCGTGCAACGCACATGCTGTGAACCGTTCCAAGGCAACCATGCTGCCAAACGCAAACGGCACCAGTCCTGACCTTTACCAGGACCCGCCTTGTCATACGGAGTCGCCAGACGTGCTTATCGATATACACGGCCATTCTGCCACTGCTAATGATACACCTCACACTCCCACACACGGCCTGGTCGAGGGGGGGTGGGTACGTCCTACATGTGTCAAAGCTTTTTGCAGCTACCGCGTCTTCTTCTTTCAACTTCAACCACCAACCAACCAGGTAATCACCAGGAGTGAAAGACAACGTCCGTCAACTGCACTATTCTTCTTCACATCTTCCAGAAGCATCGAATGGTCCTCACCATGTACGCGAATTGCACTTCAGCCTTCCATACAACCACGCACGCACACACATGCAGCCGCATAACTCTTTCCACACTGCCGCCGCAACTCCGTAAACGCATGATGATATACATCGATTAATGAATGGGACACGCAACACGGAAAGACATGATGCACAGCCGAATAAGCGGAGCGCCTAGCACGAGGAGTGGGCTCCATCATATAGCTAAACGCGCCCGTGCCCGAGCTTACACCTGCCGTCCGCATCTGCAACCGTCCAAAAACACCTCCGGAATATGCAACACCAACAGCACCGCGGCTGATGATCACGGGGAACATCATCGGATCTGCCAAACGCCACCTCCCAGCAAATGCACCGACGCGCAGAAATGGAGACAGAAACAGAAAGGGAGACAATTGATGTATCACATGAGTGCCTGCATGCTGCTTCATGATATGCCTGCATGCACGTGTCCCATGTGTTGCAAGGGGCCCGACTGCCCCACAGACTGCATTGCTACTGCCATCACCACCAGCCACCTGCTTCCATTTCTTCGTAACAATTGTTCGCTGCGGCCTGCGCTCTCCAAACGTTCCACCTGCTGCTGCTAGAAAATACAGCAATATTGAGCTGCGTTCCGTGGGCACGGATGAGCCTCTCAGCCGCTCTAAAACTCCAAGACAGCCTATGTTGCCTCTACACCATTCAACAAGAAACGATCGAACAAAACGTGCTGATTTATCATCCATCAATTCACACCGCCCCGTCCTGCTTCCTCTCAAGAGAAAGACATCGACATGCGTATGCAGACGGGGAGCTGCCTCCTTTGTTGTGAAGCACAGTACGTCCGCAGGCAAATCACTAAATAGAAATTACCAAGCAAGCTACATCACAGCTGTCGTCTGACACTTGCAACGCCACCTCTGATCACGCACATCACGCCGTGCATCCAACCGGCACTTACACCACAACCATACAGCCGAGCCCCAAACAGATAGACCGGGAATGAAAGGCCAGAAGACCAGCTGGGCTAAACCACAAAACACTTGGTCTGAAAGACGTGCAGCGGGCACCAAACCCATGATACGCCGTACCATCAGGAAGGCAGCTACCTCACATCCTGCCAACACCAAAGCACATACACGCACATGACTCGGAGATGCAGGCACGCATGTTCACGCTATCACCACCCTCGGCTCAAGCGAGTAAAGGTATAAGCATGCATGTACGACAATGCACCGGACATCGAACATGAAGCCACTGCAAAGTGAACGACGTAAAGTGTGAAGGAGGAGTCAGTTCCATTCTCTAACGTTCAATTAAGACATGACACCCCATTCTACACAACAGCCTACTAAAGGATTTCCCACGAATCCCCAATCGTCATATCGTAGCCCGGGTAACGGAGGTGCCCGAACGGGGCCAGAGGATGCCCTGTTCGGCCACAAAACCGCTTCCCCCACAGTGACAACATGCAAGCGCCGAACCCTCCCCCGCGGATGCGAATAACCAAAAAAATAGCCAAACCCATTTTACGTTGTTGCTTCGTGCCGCTCGCTTTGTAAGGAAACGGCCCACCACAGAAAGCGCGCATGACCCATTGTCAACGCAATGAAGGTATCAACCGTTTACGGACAACTATTGCTAGAGTGATGTGCATGATCGCATGTGTCAGCGGACACTACCGAGTAGTTTACTAACTTCCAACCGCCCCAGTAGCTAGAAACCTCATCGAACCTCCGACACACGCCATACATTCATACCGTTGCCGTTTGCACACCGACATTCTAACATGTGACCATGACATCAAATTTAAGACACCGATGGCGTTATTACCGACACAGCAGATCATGCGCTTCTTCAAAGCCCAACGTCGTCCATGTAAGCCGGCCCCAAATGGAGGATCACGGGTCAGGAGAGAGTGTTGGCCTTATGATACCCCTCCCAGACACAGCCAGACATGTTAGCCCACACACATGGCCTCCCTGCCAGTTGCCCCCACCACACCTATAGCGCGCAGTGCAGCAAGCAAGCGTCAAACCCGACAGGGTTGTAAAAATGGAACACCCCACCCTTTGTTTGGCTTTTGAGCCTCATCTTACCCCCCCCCCTCCTTCATGCATCCATTCACATATTAAACCACCATGCCTCCATTGATTACCCTATGATCGTGAGAAACCTGCGCCTGGCTTTGCCAGGAATGTGTACGCCCTGCATTCCCCCAAACTACCAAACTATCTACACGCACTACCGCTCTCCTGACATTTCCGACAGTGCTACAGCCCAAACACTACTCCACCTTTTGCGAAACCTCACCTCCTGCGAAACTGACTTCAGCGCTTGCCAGCTCAGACCGCAACGCTGCGTGCCACCAACCAGCTACCTGCCTGCCTGCTAAGCCAAGTATCCGAGTGGTACTGCCAGTTGCGTAAAGTAAGCCGCAATACAAAACCTACTCTCTGCACGAACAGGACGAGGTCTTGTCGTACGAAACGTTGCTCCTCTTCCTGCCTGTGCCTAGATGGCCCCTTTCTGCATCCGAATATGGAAGAATCAGAACTGGATGCCGGCCCCCCATGCTAGTGCACCGAGCAAGTGCACTCAGTTGCAGTACAATCTCTCTCCCCCTCTGTACCTTCCTCCTGCAAAATCCTTCACCATGCGCTCAGCCGTCCCTACAAAAATGCCATGCAGGGCAGGCCTACGCAGGTCACAACCTGGGTACTGATCTCCCCCGTGCCGGGTACTGATCTCCCCCGTGCCTGATCAAGCAACCATCCCAAAACGAACGGCCGCGTGACAGGATACGGGTGAACGGAGTCATGTCTACCGACCCAAAATTCGCACACGCACGCACTCGTGAGTCCTCACCCCATCCACCCACGCAGGACGTCAACCCCTGACACGGACGGTAATGCATCCATCCGTGCACCAGGGGCCTTCCGTCTCAAGCGTGTGCCCCAACCCAACCCAGGCGGCAGTCGACTGCGGCAGAAACGCGAGTCGAAACTACTGTTCCAGGAAGGCTGAGGTCCTGAAAGAGGAAACTCACACAGACACGCTCGCTCGCTCGCACGAGTCGGGGAGTGTCGGGGACGTGTTGTGATGTATCATGGCTGCTCAGTACTCTCTTAACTTCAGCCTACGCTCCCCCTTGAGTGTTGACGTGCGTGCTGCGCTCTCGATCCACTGCATCGGTACTCCTTGTGTAGCTCTATTCGACAATCTCCCTCTGCTGTAAAGTGCTATCCATTGCTAGCAATTGAACACACAGCATGCAGCAGCACTCGCTGCATCTTGTGACTACATTTCTCTCTCACACATTCCTTCAGTATTTACCTACGGAGTCCAGTAGGCAGTGATGCAGCTCCTACACCTTTAATCTGACAGGAATACATACAGCATCACCCGTGCTCAAACCCATAGCTTTTAACACAACAAAAGCCATTATCATCAATACTTCTTGTCGCCATTACTCTCTCTCACACCCCTCCTCACCGATAGGGTTTCTCGTACGATTTTTCTCACCCGTGATGTAGTTCTCGGCCACCGTCTCCATGTCCTCGTCTAGTTCCTGTGGCGGGCGCCTCCATGCGCCGAGCCACCTCCCACTCGCCGGTCGTGGCTCTGCTTGTACTGCGCTTGCCGCAGGGACTTGAGGTACGGCAGCAGCGGCGCGTTGGGGTCCAGAAAGATGTCCTTCCGATTGCGGGCCACGGACTCCAGGATGAACTGATTGGGGCCGGAGGGACGTGTTTGGGTCAGGAACGGGGCGGAGGGATGACGTTGGGTCAGGAACGGAGCGGAGGGACGGAGGAAGGGGTGCGGGCGAGGAAGAGGATAGGCAGAGCGAGGAACGTTTCGTGGGTGTTCTGGTGGTCGACGGTGGTCAACTATAACTAAGTAAGAATACCAATGCAGTAAACGGCAGTCAAGCGAGCAACAAGCAGATCAACATGATGCAGCTGCAGAGCCGCCATCCTGGCAACCGATTCCGTTCACACAGGGATCCGTTCGCAACCCTCACAACCCCTTACAACCCGGAAATGAGCACCCCCTTTATGAACAGCAGCTGCGCCACCCCGCACACCTGCCGCTCCTCCTCCGCTAGGCCGACCTCCGTCCTCGCCGCCGCCTCAATGCGTCGCAGGCTGCTCAGCTTGCGCTGCGGCCAACGGTCGATGCCCGCCGTACGACACCGCCGCTTGAGCTCGGTTGCACTCACCCCCAGGCTGCGAGCCGCCTCAGAGGCGGGCAGGTCAAAGGCCTTTCGAAGGGCTTCGAACAGCGCGGTGCCGCGCCTCAGCTTGCCACCTGCACCACCGCCGCCGTTAACGTCGGCATTGCGGATACCGCCTGCAGCAGCAGCAGCAGCAGCGCCGGCCTTCTCCACCTGCTCCAGAACCCCAACCACCTCCATTGCCGCGTCCTCCTCCTCCTCATCGCCCTCGCTCGCCTCCTGCAGCTGCTCTTCCTCCTCCGCAAGTGCGACTTTGCCATCCTGCGTCGCTTCCGCCATGAAAGAGGAGGAGTCAGGGGCGCCCTCGTCTGCAACGGCAGCTAGCCAGTCTTCAGCTCCTTGAAGCAATGTACGGCAGCCGGGATCGGGTCGTACGGCTACAGCAGTAGCAGCAAGTGCAGCTGGGGCTGGCTCGGATGCTGCAGCAGCCGGAGCGGCAGCGGCAGCGGAGGCGCCCGAGTACACAAAGTCTGCTGGCGCTGACATGCGGGAGAAGGGTGGCGGCAGCAGCTGGGGAGGTGGAGGAGACAGCGGCGGTGAAGGAAGCGACGTGGGGGCGTACGGCGGGGGAGCAGGGCACCACAGCTGCGGCCAGACGGTGTACGGCGCGGCTGCAGTTCCCGCCGCCCCTGCAGGTGAAGACCCCGGAACGGTAAGGCTTGCGTTGCCGCCAAGTGCGGCTCTGCCACAGCTGCCAGATGTGCCGCTGCCGCCGCTCATGACACACGACAACCCAGATGCACCGTGCGGAATGTTGCAAGCCGCAGCCGCGGCCGCAGCCGCCTCTCCTTCGTCCACATCCGGCGACACGAAGGGGGAGAGGGACTCCAGGCTGTCATCCTGAGTGGAAGGGAAGTACGGCAGAAGAAGCGGCGGCTGCAGCTGCATTGGAGTGGTGGAAGGAGCCACAGCCGCTGTGGCAGGAAGGTCAGGCGCATTAGAGACAGCGCGCGTCAGGATGCCGCTTCCGTTGATAGCAGCGATAGGATGGGATGTACGGCCGGCGGAGGAACGGGAAGAGGAGTAGGGAGAGAAAAGGGCCGGACTTGCAATGTTGTCTGGAATGTTGCCCTTGTCTGGAATGGCGCTGTCCGCGCTACTCGGGTTCTTGCTGCTGCTAGCTCCGTCGCTGTCGTGGCACGCGTGTGAAGCGGTGCTGTTTGGAGTCGGGAAGGAAGGCCAAGGCGCGGCCGAAATTTCGGCGAAGAGCTGCTCATGAAGCAAGTCATCCAGCTGATCCATGTGCACACCTGCAGCGCCCAATGTCCTACGCTGCATCTGTTGCTGGCAACGTTGCTGGACCGGACCAGACGACATCGTGGAGGGCAGCTGCTGCAGCTGCGGGTACCGATGAGGCGGCACATTGGATGACCAAGGCCACGGCGACTGGGAAGGTTCTGGCGGGTTCGAAGCAACCCCTGATCCTGCCCGTTCCGCTCGCAATAGGTGGGTCACCGTAGACGGCGCGGCCATTATGGGACGCAGCTGCGACCTCGCGATGCCGAATGCTACGAACTGTGCCCGGTTGTCCAAAGGTCGCGCCGTTGAACCTATAGCAACCGTAGAGCTGCTTCCGGCATTACCGCTTATAGAGTCTGGTCTTGTGAGACCATAGTTTGACGAGAAGGGAGCCGCAGCGAGGGCTGGAATTGTTGTCGCAGCGGCCAAGGAATAAACCAAGGCATTGCTTCTCTCCAAAAAACTGGTTGGCGGTTGCGACGAAGCAAATTGACCAAAGCGCTCGTTGAAGACCTCAGGCCGCGCAAATGGGCTTGGATTGTGATGCAGACCTCCAGATGTTAAAGGCGCCAAAGCGGAGGGAGTCCTTGCACGATAGTCATTGCAAGGGGCTTGATAGCTGTGCCAGTTGCCGTCGATGGGGGCCAGGTCGCGAAGGAAGGGCAAGCCTTCGTCGACGAAGTCGAAAGCGTGCACTGTATCTGCTTGGACGCTGCGTGTCGGGGCAATATTGCTGCCAGATGCAGGGCTTGTCCGCATGTCTGTAGCTGCTTGTTAGTGGCGACGGGTCAGTAGGAAAGGAACAAAGGCTTCCTCTAGCTGTTCAGCCTAGTATGAGCACAGTATCCAATTGCGCAGGCGTGCGCCCACCTAGCATGACGCCCGCCTGCAACAGTAAGAAAAGTAAGAAAAGGACAAAGGTAATAGGCTTGGAGTTAAGGTAGTTCAGCATGCGCGGCGATATTTGCGGGCACAGGGGACGCCTTCCTCAGCGAGATGCTATAGCATGTCAACATGTACAGAAAACGTTGACCCTGTAAAGGCAGCGAAGAGCGCCATGGCCTGGGCCTTTTCAGTGCTATTCCTAAGGAGTCCGTCATAGTTTGGCCTGGCTCTAAGCTCAGACACGGCAGACATGACTGTAGCTTGTTTACCTTGCTGTCGAAGCTAGGTAGCTGCTGCGTTGGGTGTGCTCGCCCTTCCCTAACAGGCGATGCCACACTGCGGACTAAGAGCAAGGCAATTAACCCGTTTGTAAAACAAGATCTTCGTAGGTGCTTAGAAAGTAGAAAGTAAGGGCATAGAACAAGCTGGCTAGGTAGACTTGAGTACTTCCAAAAAATCTCTGGCCAAAATGACGAACGTCGTACATTTCGCCATCCAGGTTTGTAGCATGCCTGGCGTTACCTAGTCAGGAGAATACTTTTGTAATAGAGGATGCAATGGAATTTATATTTTGCAAGTCACTCTGTAGAGACAGTTACATGGAATGCCCGACATGCAACAGGTGAAGCAATGTTGGTTCGCCTGGATAACTCACCTCCAAAGTTGATACCCGTTGTAATCGCGTGCTCATCACTTTAATCATGACAATAAATTGAATGCGTACGTCCGGTTGTTTGCTTTTCTTCGTCACAGTTCCTGCATCACGGGTCCTTCGAGTCCTATACAAGCAACGCGCTTTTGACTTGCCGCTTGCCCCATTGTTGCAGCGCCGCAGGACGCCACAAACAGACAGTGCTCATTGGAAAGACATATGTATGTCCTACCGCGCACTGACGGCACAGGGTACCGCGGCACAGAAGTGTGAAACCCCTTTCACTACCGGTACTGTTGCGGAGTACGGTACTGTTACGGAGTAGTTACAATGCTTTAATCAACATAAATCGAGTAGTTACAACGGCGTTTTGCTGAGATACCGGTACTCCATTGCCGTGCTACTAAGCAGCGCGCCCACCATCGACACATGTAGATACCTTCGCAAACCTTTTAACACCTCCAGGAACATTCTATACTGGAGGTTAGCGCCTGTATTGGCGTAGGCGCCCAAAGCCCTAACCCTACATCGCTTTGGCGCTGGCGCAAAAGGCGAGAGGGCGATCTGCCACTGCCGTTGGCACTGGCTGGCCACCCTCCTATCCCGCTGTCACCCGCACCTCGCCTCCAACCCCGGCTCCACTCCTCCGTTTCCATTGTACGGCACACCGGCAACGCTGCCAGCCACAGCAATCCCCGCATGCGCACAACGAACGCCGCCTTGCAGCCCTCTGCAGCCCTCCCCGCTCCTCCCCCGCCTGCTACCGCCTTCCCCTTCTCATCTCCCGCTGCCGGCCTTCCTGCATCGGAATCATCGTCCGCCTGCTGCCGCTGCCGCCTGCCTCGGAGTGTCCCCAGCTTACAGCCTGCCGCGGGTGCGCACGTCCGAGGCCAGCCGCGTGTCTCGCTCCTTCTCGTACTCCCGCAGCTCGGCCCGCTTCAGGAAGTTCTGGAGGGGTGGAGTGAACAAGGGGGGGAGTGAACAAGGGGGTGGGGGGGAACGAGCGGGGGAACGCTCTTAGGTGCGGGCAGGTGGCGGAGGCGGCGGTGGTGCGGGTCGCCGGCGCGGGCGGTAATCACACTGAGCAACACTCCCGCAGCTGGGCAGCGGAGTAGGAGATAAGGAAATGACGAACCGGGCAGGGGAGGGGAGGTAGCGGTCTCGGGCCTTCGTGCCCACTCAGGCACCGTACTGGTCGCCGCTGCCCCCCCCTACACCACATCCAGCCTAATGCGGAAGATGTATCCCTATGTATCCCTACATCACCCAACTCCCACTGTACGGTAGCCCCACACCTCGGGCATGGCCTGCTAGGCCCCCCCTACATCCCATGCTGAAGCCTCGTCATACAGTTCGCCAATCTCCTCTTTTTACCCCCTACATCCCATGCCCGGGGGGGCCGCCCGCCACCACTGCGGGCACTGGTCGGGGCAACAGAAGGGCAGAGAACCCCCCCACACCCACCCCCACCCCCACCCCCACCCCCACCCACACACCAGAAGCGGCTCCAGCTACTCAACTCCTGTAAGCACAACCTCCTTCTACCTAGGCCCCTCCACTACCCCGGTAAACCAAACCAAGGACCCAGGAAGCACCCGCGCGCACATCACCTGCACGCCGCTACACTACCCATTCTGAAATGACGCGCCTCGGCCGCACCCCCGCTTGTGCTTTGGTCCTTCCTTAACCCCCACCCTGCACCCGCACCCCGCAACCCCACCCCCCACCCGTGCTCCCTTACCGGTATTATTACCCCCCCCCCCCGCACTCCCCCCCGCACTCCCCCCCGCACTCACCTGCTTGTCCAGGTACTGCTCGCCGCTCTTCTTGTACATCTCCAGCTCCTCATCGACCTCCGTGTTGGCAGCCTGGGGGGGAGGGGGAGGGGGGAAGAAATTCCAATGTGTGGTGTGATAGTGGGGGAGGGGGGGGAGGGGGGGGGAGGAAGAATACCCAATGTGTTGGATGCGGGGGGGAGGCAGGGAGCAGCCCACCAAACCAGGGGAGACCACAGGTTCGGGCAAAGCAATGGGTATAGAGGAGGCGGCAAGGCACCCCAATACACGTGTTGGTTAGCAGCCTGCCCCCCTGCCTGCCACTTCCCCCGGCCCTCCCCCCTCCTCCGCCTGCCTAACCCCTCCCACGCCTCCCCGCCCCATCCCGCCCCCCCCCGCCTACCTTGTACTCGCTCCAGTCGGCCTTGGTCTTGTCAAGCACGCTCACCTGGGGGGTGGGGAGTGGTGGGGCAGGAGGGGGGTGTGGTGGGGGTGGTGGGGAGGGGGGGGGGGTAAAGGGGAAGAAACGGACGAGCTGTATGACATGCAGGCTTCACCATGGGGGGTGTAAACATGGTAGCAGGAGGGGGGGCCGCGGAGGGGCGCTTAACCAACTAGTTAAGCCCCCACCCACCCACCCACCCACCCACCCACCCACCCACCAACAAAAATACAAACGGCCAGTGTATCCTACTGAGTACTGGATTTATATCTCTACGTACGTCAACCTACTCCTCGGCTCCTGTGGCGTTTCTGTGGGAGAACTTCATCTTCCGGCAATCACAGTACGTTTCGCCTCGCGGCCAATTTCCTCAACACACCGTTTTCTCAACACACGCCGCACACCTTCTTCTTCTTGTCAATCTCCGCCAGCACCGCATCCAGGCCCGAGGAGGCGGAGGCCGGCGGGGGGGGCGGTGCGGCGGCCCGGGCTGCGGCCCGCTGCGCCTCCCGGCTGTCCTTGTCCACATGCAGCGTCACCTGGGCAGCAGAGCGGGGGGGGAGGGGGGAGGAGCGGAGGCGTAAGGAGTACGAGGTCAGGAGGGGGGTCAAAGCAGACCAAACCACGGGAAACCACGATTTAGGGCAGAATGATGGGGGAATGAGGCGGCAGGGCGGAGGGGGAGGGGATTATTAGGGGAGGTTGAGGCACGTCGAGCTCTGTGGCCCTCGGACGCAGCTCGGATGCCAGCTGTGGAGCAGCTCGGGGGACCCTCCCAAGTCGTGCGGCAGTGGGAGGAGGTGGGGTGCCAGGTGGGAGACGTAGAGGGGTCACACACACACACACGGGGTGGACACACGCGCAAACGGCCCCGCTCCATTCTCCTCCTTCACAGGTTGGAGGTACCTACTGCGCTCCTTAGCCCCATACCTTCTCCACCCCTCCCCTCCCCACCCCCTCCCAACCCCGTCCCGCGCCTCCTCACCTGCACATCCTTGCCCGCGAATCGCCGCACCTCCGTCACCGCCACCTTGCCCACCCGACTGCCCGCCGCACCGGCGTCACGCGCAGCAGCCAGCGCAGCAGCAGCCAGCGCGCGCTTCTCCTCCGCGGTAGGGCCCCCCGCTGCTGCTGCGGGTGGTGCTGCTGCTGCTGCAGGAGCGGATGTGGACGGCCCGGCTGCCTCCGCCACTGCTGCTGCTGCTGCTGCGGGTGATGAGGGTCCCGGAATGCCTGGACCCCCGGAGGTGGAGGGCGGCTCGCCGGCGGTAGGGGCGGTGCCGGAAGGATGTAGCAGCGGGTGGTCTTCCGCGGGTTTTGGTTTTGTGGAGGGTGGGTGCGCGGCTGCTGCGGGTGCTGCTGCGGTGGGTTGCTTTTTAGGCAGCAGCCCCAGACTGCGCATCCAGATCTGGGGGAGGGAGGGAGGGAGGGGGTTAGAGGGGGCGGGGTTACTCCGCACACTGAAGCAGGTTGGTGCAGTAAAGGTGAGGGTGCGGGGGACGGCAGAAGGCGACGGCAGGGGGTCCCGAGGAGGACGGGGAAGGGAGCAGGGGGCACGGGTCTGGTGGGCATCTGGCCACAACTGCCCCGACTAACATGGGAGGTGGGGGGCTCGGCGAGCTCGGCGGTTTCGGCGTGCCGGTAGTCAACACAACGGTAGTTGGGTTTCCCCCTACCACATACCCCCTCCCCCACACACACCTTGCCGCCAGTTTTCTTAGCACCCACCGCCCCCCCTGTGGCCCTCACGCTCGTTCAGGACGTGAATTTCCTTGTGGACACCCCAGGCAGACAGGCAGACAGGCCCCGCACGCACCCTCACCCTCACCCTCACCACCCACCACCACCATCATCACCATCATCATCTCACACAACGCTCTCACCACCCATCTCACACGACCCTCACCGCATCAGGGTTCGCCGGTTTGGCAGCCTTCTTCCCGCCGGAAGCTCCCGACCGACAAAGCGCCGCGAGGTTCACGGTAGCAGAGGGCAGCCGAGCCGCCACACCGGTGCCATTAGCCGCCGCGCGCGCGTTGACCTGCTCCCAGAGCGATGCCACCTTGGCACGCTTGGCAGCAAACTTGGGGTCCCTTGCCGCTCGCGTCTCCTCATCTTCCTCGTCCTCGTCCTCATCTTCGGCTCCTTCTGCGCCGTCATCGTCGCCACCTCCCTCCCCATCGTTGCCGTCTCCCTCTGCGGCGATGGCAACGCCGCGTCTGTGGGTTGGGGTGGTGTGCGGAAGAAGTAGTGGGGGAAAAGAAGGATATTCAATGTGTTGTGACAGTGGGAAACTAGCTGACAAGCCCTGGGGGGAAGCGGTGGGAGGCGGTGGCGGTGGTCGTGGGGTTTTGTGGCGGTAAGAGTTTGGAGGATTGGGGTTAGGAGGAGGATGCTGGGGAAAGGTGCTGAGAACTGACAAGGCTGTGGAAGAGCACGGATAGGAGCCTGTGCAGACTGGCTGGAGGACCCGCCTTGCACCTTCCGTTGCCCTCCTTTCGCAGGTTTTGCGTGCATTGCTTAGAGGATGCTTAAAAGCATCTGCCGCAAGCAACTGGGGATTAAAGCGATGGCCTTCGCAAGAGCCCCGTGCAAGTCAGCGGCGTCGTGTAAAGGACACGACCCCCAATACGTTACCGAGATCATCGAGCACGGTGATAACAAGAAACCGTCGAAGGATATACATGTATGGGGGGTCCGCAGGTAAGTTCGCATGGTTATGCTGCCCATGCGGCTCGACAGTAACCCGTACCTGCGCTTTTTGCTTGCTCCTCGTTTTGGGCCTGCCGCTTGGGGAAGATCCTCGCGCTCAGCGGTGTCGTCAGCTACAGGGTTGTAGTCGTCATCCTCCTCATCGTCAGATGGTAGCGCAGCGTTAAGAAAACCTGCCATCCTTACTTACTAGGATTTAATAGTTTCCAACTACTAGAATTAAGCTTGAGCTATTTCCTCACAACAAATCTTTCAGTAAGATACTTGGTCCACGGGAAACAGAAAATGATGATACTTTTTTAACGTACTGCTGTAGATACGCAGACATCTACTGAGGCAAGGCTTGAGTACGCTAACCCGCATAACGATTTGGGCAAGCGGGCCGGCCGGGCCCCATGGTCTATGCCGTACAGTCGGGGGTTCGGAGCCTGGGATACCATGCCTTCACAGGGTTCACAGCTTCACACGTTCGCCAGTAAGCCTGATCCCGTTGCACAGGAGTTGCTTATTGTTTCGCGCTTCCTTTTTGACACCAAAGGCCTAGACTGCCGGTGTGTGTTGTGGTTGATTTGGAGGCATGACAGCAAGGCTCAATTCACGTCTGAGCGCAAGTTCCTCAAGTTACTACAGCTGCTGAACGGATCTTAAAGTGTGGGCATATATCTTTGTTTGTTGCCCTGCCCTACCGCCTCCCCTTTTAGATTCACTGGTAATTGTCCCCCAACTGCACCTAGTCCCAACTCCCCAGCCTTTAAACACCCTCCCCCTCTGCTATACTCCCAACTGCTTCCGCTCCCACTCTTAGCAGTCCTCTGTCCCAGACTACCGGAGAGGGGTCCACAAATCAGCAACTGTGCTCGTGCCTATGGGGCATGCTCAGCCAGGTTGGCTCGTTTGCAGGCCTCAGTAGACTGTCACACGGAAACATGGGAAGGGTTAGGGAAACACAGGGAAGCCCGCTGAAGGTCGACTGACGTGAGACCTGGGGCCTGCGCAGCCCTGCGCACCCTCGAGCATGTGTGTACGGCAAAGCATGCGCAGCCTAGTTGGCCCGTGCTCATGCCTAGTAAACATGGCGATTCAAGCTGGGACCATATATTGAAACCGCTGGACTCTTGGTGGTGCTTTTGGTTATCGACGTGTCGCCGATGATAACATTTTGGCCATGGCCGAGAGTGAAAAAGCAAGGTTCATCCACAACCTTCCAACGGTACCTATAAAGGCTGTTATAAGCAATTCTGTCGCAACTTTGGGAATGTTGTTAGCGGTCGTAAGACGGCGAACATGTGACAACCGACCAAGGAACGTGAGACCCGCACTGATGAGCAACTGCGGTACCAAACAAGCAAAAGCAACCTTCCTTCAAGTAAAACTCCACCCTGTAATGGCGCAACCGTCAACCTACTCCTGCTGCTACGTAGAGGCTGTTGTGTAGAGGCTATTGCGTATGTAAAGGCTCCGCAAGTATGTTCTGCATGCTTGCGCCCCTCCTCAACCACATAGCCGCCCCCCTTGCCCCCCTCGTTACTAGCGCTGGTAAACGTAAGCATCTTCTTCTCCACCCCCAACCAAATACACCCTCGCGAAAATCTCCCCCCCAAAAGCCTTACCACAACGCCGCCGACAGCGGAACCCCGCACCCCGCCCTCTTCCTTCTCTCCTCCCGCCACTCACACCCCCAATCCCCGCGGCAGGTGCACCATGCTCTTATACTCCGGCCAAAACATGCTCCTCACGATCACATCCAGCAGCGCCGCCTCCACCGCCCTCTCCTTGCTGCTGCTGCTGCTGGCTCCACCCTTGCTACCGCCGCTTCCGCCACTGCTCCCTCCACCCTCGCCCTTGCCCCCCTCCTCGCCCTCTCCGAGGGCTGCGAGCGCCTGTGCCCGGACCTGCGCCTGCGCACTACTGCCGGGGGCAGCACCCGTTGTAGCAGCAGCAGCAGCAGCAGTTGCAGCACCCGTTGTAGCAGCCACCTCCGCTGCCGACACCGCCGCAGAAGCAGCGACGGGGGAGGTGGAGGACGGCGGCGTCGCAGGGCCCGCCACAGCAGTCGGGGAGGCGGGCGCAGCCCCCACCTCGCGCCCTGCTGCTCCTGCTCCTGCTCCTTCCACATCCGTACCCAGGGCTGCAGCACCCGCAGCACCACCAGCACCAACCGCAGCACTGGCAGCACTAGCAGCAGCGGAGGCAGCGGCGGCTGTTTCCGCCAGGTTCTTCGCCTCCTGCAGCGGCCCCCTCAGGCTGCCCTCCCGGCCCGCCTGCAGCACCACCGCCAGCGCCACTCGGGCGCTGATGGCTCGGATGTCTTGCAGGCGCGGGTACACCAGGCCTGGGGGGGGACAGGGGGGAGGGGGTAACAGGGAAAAGGGAGGGAGGGGGGGTAGACAGGATGAGCCGCGGAAACAGTGACCCTGGCCGGAGGATAATGGCGTCCCAGACATCCTTCTTTCAATGCCGTATCCCCTCTCCCCCTCCCTTTCACCCTGCCGTACATCCCCCCCTGTTACCCTGCCGTACACCCTCCCCCTCTCTCACCCTGCCGTACATCCTCCTCCACCAGCATGTCGGGCAGCGCCTCCGCCGCCGCCATCAGCATGCCGTCACTCACACCGCCGCAGCGACCCAGGAAGGCGCCCAGCGCGATACCTGGGGGGTGGGGAGGAGGAATACCCATTGTGTTGGGGGGCAGCGGGGAGCGGGGGAGGAGGGGAGCGGGGGAAGCAGATGGGTCTCCAGAGGAGGAGCGAACACGGAAGGGGGGCGTGGGGACAGGTCCGGAGTAGGCTGGTCGGGGAGCCAAGCACATGTTGTCCTCATGCACGCATCCACCACCTAGTCCGTAACACGAATAAGTCGCCCTCACACGAATGTTCTTGATGTACGTCCAGGGTTCTAAACTTACTTATACCCCCGGGACGGTAATGGGCAAGAGGCTGCTCTTCACCCCCTTCCCCTTCTTAATGTTACCCCCACTTTCCCCTCCTTAATTTTACCCCCTCCCCCCTCCCCCTCTGGGCGGGTTGGGATGGCTCACATGTTGCAACCCATGTTGACGTCTTATCCCTCAGTCACTTAGTTGTTTCCTCTTTACCCCCCTCCCCCTCCCTTCCCCACCCGGGAAGAGGTACATGTTGTTGGCCTGACCCACGGGTCGCGGCGGGGACCCGTCCCCCAGCTCCACCGGGGACTGCGGGCTGCCTCCCGCGAAGATAGCCCGACCAGCAGTCCACCTGAGCGGGGGGTAGGAGGGGGAGAAGAGTGCACGATTGAGTTGAATGAGGGAGGAAGGGAGGGAGGCAGGGAGGAGGGAGGGAGAGTAAGGAGAGGTGGTGAAACAAGGAGAGCCGTTTCTACGGGGAACGCAGGGAGCTTGCATGGGGCTTTGCTTTGGCGGGTACGGCATGTACCGCAGGCTTGTACGGCATACGAGGGCGTATGTGTGCCGTACCTGAGCGCCTCCTCTGCCGTACACTCCATCTGGGGGGTGGGGTTGCTCATGGGGAACACGACGGGCCTCTGTGGGGGGCGGGGCGGTGGGGGCTGCTGCTGCTGCTGCTGACCCGAGCCAACCGGGCTGCCACTGCTGGTGGTGGTGTTTCCGCTGCCGCCCTCCCCGCTGCTGCTGCACCCCGCGTCCAGTGCGCGGATGACGTCCTCCGTGAAGAGGCGCCCGATGGAGGAGAGCCCCAGGAGGATGGTGGGGCGGGCCTGCAGGGGGAGAGGTGGGGTGGGGTGGGGTGGGGGGTACGAGGGGGTGCCCTCCAGCAGTAGTCATGTTTCAGGACGAGCAGGACGTGCAGGGAGCGAGGGCGAGGAGGGGTGGTGGGGGAAACGGCACACCATGTGACACGGCTTCACGAACGTATCATGACTACTCGCTATCCCCATGACTACTCGCTATCCCCACTGTAGCAGCACGAAAAGAAGGTGGCGCCCCTCCCGCGCCCCTGTCGCCCCTCCCGCCCCCTCCCGCCCCTCCCGCCCCCTCCCGCCCCCTCCCGCCCCTCCCGCCCCTCCCGCCCCCTCCCGCCCCCCTGCCGCCCCTCCCGGCCCCCACGCCCCTCCCGCCCCCCCCCTCCCGCCCCTCCCGCCCCCCTGTCGCCCCTGCCGCCCCCCCCCCGCCCCTCACCCGCTTCACCACCTCCAGCAGCGGGCAGCGGTCCAGCTCCTCCTCGGGCCGATAGAAGGGAGCCACCTGGGGCTGGGGGGGGGATTGGGGGAAGGGGTTTTAGCAGGGAAGGGGCGGGAGGGGTGGAGAGAGTACGAACCCACACACACACTCCGTACCCCAGCGCACTTCCCCCAGCACAGTGCGGCCAGCTGCGTCCCACACACATGGCAAGCCCCGCAGCAGCAGCTCCCCCCGGTCCCAGTACGACACACCTAACCCCCTCATACAGCTCATCAGCTTCCTTCTTTCAAACACCCACCCCATGTCCTCATACGACACACCTTGTCCTTGCTGCGTGCGGTCGTGAGCAGCCCCCTGCTGTCCAGGATCCAGAACCGCGACACCGCCTCAGCGGGGGTCAGCCCGTGCTTCACCATGGCTTTGAGGAGGGGGAGGGGGAAGGGGCGGGAAAGGGGAGGGAACGGAGGAAGGGGAGGGAACGGAGGAAGGGGAGGGAACGGAGGAAGGGGAGGGAACGGAGGAAGGGGAGGGAACGGAGGAAGGGGAGGGAACGGAGGAAGGGGAGGGAACGGAGGAAGCACACACACACACACGGGCCTTAGGTCCGGTCGTTTTACGAGAGTGCTTCTTACGTCCTACTTACTCTCAGCACCAGTACTGGAATTATATATGTACATACGCTACCATATTCCTCGGCTCCTACGGCGGTTCTGTGGGGACTTCATCTTCCGACATCCCAGTACGTTCCTACTCGCGGCCAGTTTTCTTAACACGTGCCTCCCGCCCCCGCCCCACCCAACCCCTCCCTGGGGCGGGAGGGTGGGGTCTACCGGTACTTTGCCCCCCCCCCTGCCGTACCTGCTGCGATCATGCGCACCACCCCCATGCCCGCGGACCCCGCCCCCGCCACCACCACCCGCTGGCAGGTGAGCTCCGCCGGGTCGGGGCGACCCATCACACGGAGGGCGCCGTACAGCCCCGCCAGAGCTACGGCTGCCGTACCCTGGGGGGACGGATAATGTACGACACGGTGTGTACGGCACATCACAGTATGTGTACGACACAACGTTTACGGGGCACACGTACCTATCTCCCTACCCTCCCTCTACACTCTCCCCCCTTCGTCATACAGTTCGTGTGTTTTCCTTATTCCTACTCCCCCCTAGCTACCCCCCTTCCCCCCTCCCCCCCCCCACATACACCTGTATGTCGTCATTGAACACGGTGTGGTGGTGTCGGTACCTGGTCAGCAGGGCCGCGGCGTGCTGCTGGTTGAAGTCCTCGAACTGCAGTACGGCAGCCGGCCAGCGGGACATCACGGCGCCCACGAACTGGTACGGCATAGGTGGGGGGAGGGGGGGGGGGAAGTACAGAACCCATGAGGTGCTGGGAAAGCGCCCATGCACAAACAAAGCATGAGAAACACACCCAGATGGCAGGACGGAGAGATGTGTTGGGACCTTCTTGTGTACTGTGTACGACAAAAAGGCGCGCGCGGGGTGGGGTACGATCCTAGGGAGTAGTTGCCGTACGACAGTACGAGCGCCCTTCCGTACCTCATCCATGACCTCAAAGTAGTCCTTCCCGGTGAGTCGCGGCGTCCGTAGTCCGGCGTACAGCGGGTCGTGTCGCAGCTGCTCGTTGTCCGTACCCACGTCCACAACCACCGGCAACACGTGCGAGGGTGAGAAGCCTGAGGCACACGTGGGTAGGTATGTGACGGGAATAGGGTCGGGCAGGGCTGATGAAGGTTGGGTAAAGAGGAAACAACTAACTGACTGAGGGGTAAGGCGTCAACATGGGTTGCAAGATGGGGGTAAGGTTGGGTTTGGCGGTGGTTGGTTGGATGCGGGTGTGGGTGCGAGGTCGTTGGCCAGCCGTGTGCGGGAGGAGGAGGGGGAGGAGGAGGAGGGTTGCCGGGAGCGTTGCGAAGAGGGGCATAGCTGGCGAGCGGGGCCGTGAGAGGTAGGGGGAGGACGTGCCGCCGAGCCCGCTGCAGCACCGACGCCGCACCGAACCTCCCACCCCCTCACGGCTCCTTGCTGTGGTTTCCCAAGGTACGGTATGGTCTTTGATTCCCCCCGCAACCCCGCACCCCCTCATGTCCTCCCCCCTCACCCGCCGCAGCGCAGTAGAGGTCGAGTTTTCCGATGGGTATACCCAGCCCGTTGAGACCCAGGTCGCCCAGGCCCAGAATGCGGCTGGGTTGGGGGGGGAGGGGAAAAGGCGGGGGGTCAAAGACCATACCGAACCATAAGAATCCACAGGTTGGGGCAAGACAATGGGGGTAGGAGGCGGGGGAGTGCCACAATACAAGTGTTGGTTAGGGTTTCCAGATGGATGGGGGGGAGGAGACAGAGGGGGAGAGGACAGGAGGGAGGGAGGAGGGGAGACAACAAGTCGCATGAAACGCCAAGTGGTTCAGCAGGGGGCTTCTAAAGGCGCGGGGTCGTGTTGGGGTGGGGGATTAGCTCAACTGAGCCGCGGAAACACTGGGGTGGTAGGGGAATGCGCCGTCACCCCCATGCCCCCACCCGCACCTCCCCCCCATGCCCCCCCCCCACCCCCACCCGCACCTGCCGTCGGTCACCACGATGGCGTGCACGTCGTCCTGCGGCCAGTTGTACGCCATGGCAGCCTGGGGGGGGGGGAAACAGAGGGGGAGGGGGGTCAAAGACCATACCGAACCATAGGAAACCATGGGTTAGGACAAAGCAACGGGGATAGGAAGCACCCCACTCGCATCCCCCAACCCTCCTCTTCCCTCTTCCCCCCTTTGTATCATTATCACACCACACTTTGGAATTTCTCCCCCCCCCCACACCCAGTTCCCACCATGTTTCCCCGGTCTGCCCCGCTGAAGAACATGCCGCGGGGTCGGCGGTAGAGCTTGTGGTAGTTGACGCACGCCCAGCCCACCGTGGGGGTGTAGATGATGGGGGCCATCTCCTGAACGTCAGGTCAGGTCAGGTCAGGTATGGGTCAAGATAGACCAAACCGTAGGAAACCATAGGTGGGGGGGAAGCACCGGTAAGTGAAAAGTGAATCAATGGCGTCCCAATCCCATATCCCGGCTCGTGCAGTGAGCGCATAAGGAGACACTATGGGGGGGGGGGGGGGTTTCGGGGGGTGGGGAGACCATTAGGGTTTGCAACATGCACTGACACGCGGGCGGTTGTTAACTCATGCCACGGATATCACGAGCACGACCGAACAGGCAGCATACCGATACGACTGATGCAGCAGGAAACACTGAGGCGTGCGATACCACCACCGAACCACCAGATGTTTTTGCCGTGCGGGGGAATAGCAATGCGCATACGCGACTCATGCTGCACTCGTATTCGTATGTCGTACTAGCGGTGCTTACCACGAAGTTCTGCATGAGGATGGAGTAGAAGAGAGTTTCGTTGCGGTCTTGCAGCCCCTGGAGCAGACCCCACCTGGGGGGCGAGGAGAGCGGGGGCAAGAAGGGGGGGAAGAAGTGGGGGAAGGAAGGGGGGTATGGAGAGAGAGGGGCGGGAGGGGGCCAGAAAGGGGCAAGGAGGAGTTTTCAGACGTGTCTCAGATTCAACACCAAAAGAACGGAGGGAGACAGAGGTTCAGCGGATTACCGGAATCCCAAAGCTGACGCGTTTCTAACGGGCTTATGCAAGTTTGGTTCCGCACCTCCTCCTCTGCCTAGCCCGCCTTCAGCTGGCCGCTCTTTTGCACAAAGCAAAGCGCCAAGCTGCGTGTCGGAAAACACACAAAACACACACGTTTCCCCCGCCCCTCCCGCTCCCTTTCCCCCACGCACCTGCGCGCCATCTCCCCCGTCACGCCGCCCAGCCGGCTGTCCTCCGGCGGAATCATCTCCCGCGGCTGCTGGTAGTCTTGCATGAAGCGCTGCGTCTGTGATGGGGTTGGGGGTTGGCGGTTGGCGGTAAGATGGAGCGGGGCAGAGCCATGCACACATTGTGTTTGTGAGGCGGGCGCAGGCGGGCTGGATTGGGCATTCGAATCTCTCGAATTCTTCTTCCTTTCTTCAAGACGAAGGGTAAGAGAGCAGGAATTACGGTAACAAAACACGCACACTCACGGTCAGTTTTCTGAACACACGCACCATATATACCGGGTATCCAAAACCCTCCCTTCCCTTCCCCCTCCTCTTTGGGTATTCTTCTTTATTCCCCCCCCCCCCGCCACCTGCAGCTCCATGGTGAGGTGGCCGGGCGGCAGCAGGCCCCGCAGGCCTAGTCGCTCTCGCTCGGCGGGAGGGAAGGAGAGGCCCTGCAGGGGGGGATATGATAGTCATGATACTGGTAGTGGAGGCATGGCAGGTGTTAAAACACACTGATCGGCCCTTGCGCGAACAGTAGGTCCGGCTGGGCCTTTGCGCGGAGGGTTAGAACTTATAAGGGATGGCGGACGGCGTCTGCTGTGCATGACAGCAGGGAAGGCGTCTGCGAGTGAATGACACACAATTGTTTGAGGCAAGCGGCCGGACGGAGGTTACTCTGTGCATGGCGATACTACACGCAAAGCCAGGTAGCATGATTTGCGTCTACTTGCACGTCGGTGTTGTTAACAGGAAACATGTGGTAGCAAATCACCAACATGCGTGCAAGCATAGGGGCTCTGTCGTTGTTTGTTGCGGTACCGTAGCTCGGTGTTCGAACTACACCCACACGCGGTGTCGTACTCCCCTACCAACCTTGTTGCTCCAGGGATCGTGCAGCAGGTCCATTCCCTTCTTGCGAACCACAAGCGAGGGCGGCTGGAGCGACGGTCGGTAGGCGGGGAGCGGCTCCTCGGCAGCGGTGGTGGTGGTGGCGGCGCCGGCGGTTGTCTTGGTGGCCATTGGCGAGGAGTCGTCGGTGCCGAAAGACATGTTGCGTTGGGTTAGTTTGAGAGCTTGGGCGTATAGTGAATCCATTTTTGGGTGTTTTTGTTGTTGTTGTGGAGGAAGAGGAGGACGGAGGAGGAGGAGGTGGCGGCGTTGTTGGCTGGAAGAGGGGTGCTGCTGGTGAGGACGGTGGGAAGCGGTGTTGAGAAAGGAATGAGGCGGAGAAGGAGGAGAAGGAGCAAGGAGGAGTGGTAACGCTGAAGATGCGGTTGACGCTGCTAGGCGGCTAGTTGCTGGGATGCTGTTCTGTGATGCGAGAAGGGAAGCTATTGGAACGGAACACAACCGCATTTCATGTGTTCTGAACTTTAGGCTCCAGATGTTCGAGTTGTTGGGGGCCAGCAGGTTAATCCCGGACAAACGTGACAACGAGGTGACTCAACGGCCAATATATACGAAAGGGCGATGCCGCTTGTTTCGTCCCTTGGGTCAGCTTTCAAGGCACGTCGCGTGACAAAATGTTTCGGGCTTATTACACAATGGTGAATTTGGAAAAGTGTAAGCAGGTTACAAGGTCTGCTTGCTTATGACCAGTTTGCGTGCATGCGATGGCGCACCGCTCAGAAGGCGGGATAAACCCAAAACGGCTTCAAGGATGAGTAAGATCTTCATCGTTTGTGCTCGTAACCCATTTTGAATGTTTCATTTATGGTCCGCGCATAACAATTTGTAAATGCAAAAGCGGCAAGGACGATCACGGCAAGATGCGCTGGATTTTGCGAGACGACATGGTATGCGCTTAACCTTAAAGCATTTCACGCTCGGCAAAATGTGGAGCCAGCTCTCCTTTTGCTTGCTCCATAGCTGCCGTACGTCGCGGTTCTTGATCTGGAGTGATCTCCACAATACTATGCTAATGTAGGTGTGTCGTGCGTCCTTTCGTGCTTACGTGCCAAGTGGATGCTTAGCCTAGGGTGGAACCTACAGAATAGCAAATGAAAAACGGAATGGAGTAAGGTGGCGCAGGCCCTGCGCTGCCAAGGCGGTGTGCTTGCACCTCATAAGCATGAGTAGTTGTTCCTACTTGGACCCAGCAAGCCTTCTCGCGCAACGCGCAGTCAGTGTCCGGTTGGGGCGCAGAGCAAGCGGATGTTCGCACTCACTCTTCGCGACAAATAGAAGGTGCGAAATAATAGTGTTCATATCCTTCGATGTTGCATGGGTTACGTACCTTTCCTGCAATTTGGAGCATCTGACGGCTCTCCTCTCTACATGGTCTCAATTATGTCAGGGCTCCGCTCAGCGACAGCAGCGTTCAAGGAAGCACAAAGCAAGCTTCCAGTAGTACATCGGCACCGACGCGGGTAAGCAAATCGGTCTTTAAAGTCAAGCCCGATTGCATGGCTTAGCGAATTGCTCATTACGCAGGTCCTTCCCGCCGTCTCTGTTGACGAGCCTGTACAGCAGAATGACGTGAAAGGTTCTCTTACAATTCACGAGCTCCTTTCACCGGTCCATGTCGGTCCGCGGCGGAGAGCATCGGCAGCATGCCACGACTCCACCGTGCACATCCCTCCCATACGCTTCGATGACTCTGCTGGGCAGCCTCCGCCAGAGTCCCTTACCCTGGTCGGTGCCTACGTGGAGAAGCAGGTGCAGGAAGTGGAGCCGCAGCACCAGCACCCGCGACCGGGACATGCAATTGAGGAGGATGTACGACTAAGCAGGAACCAGGTTGCAGACTCTCCGGCGGCGCTCGGAGCTGCTAGTGATCGCAGCGCTGCGGAAAGCGGTCTGGAGGACATATTTCGGTACCTTCTGGAAACACCGCCGCCGCTCCAGGTTCAGCCGCAGCAGCCGCAGCCGCAGCAGCCGTGGAGAAGAGGGAGTCATGGGGGCGTCACGCAGGCGCCGGACTCCCGTTGTGACGGCACCCCAGCGGTACCCCAGCAGCTGCAGCACCCGCACGCGCGACCACAACAACAGTTGGACCTGCAACCTCGACCCATTCAGCAACGGCAGCAGCAGCTGCTGCAGGGGTGCTGTCAGGAGGGGGAGGAGGACCTCCAAGCGCGACACCACCACCACCACCAGCAGTCGCCACTAACGAGGCAGCTGCAGCAGCCGCAGCAACCGCAACAGTCTCCTCTACGGTTGCGCAGGGGTTGGGCTCCTGCTGCTGCTGCTGCGGCGGCGGCTCTCGCCGCCTGTCCCTCGCAGCAGCAACAAGACCCGCAACAGCAGGTAGCTGGCAGAGGCGATGTTGTTCAAGGGGTGCAAGGGGTAGTGCCGGCATGCGGAGGAGGGGGAGGAGGAGGGGGAGGAGGAGGGGGAGGGGGAGGAGGAGGGGGAGCCCCCCAGGCAGCAGCGGCAGCACCAGCAGCCGCAGCCGAGGTTGGGGGAGCCACAGCTGAAGCCGCAGCAGTGGCAGTAGCAGCACCTGGGTGTGTGGGAGGCGGCGAGCAGCACCGAAACCACCACCACACAAGCCACGAGCCAGCATACAGTAGCAGGGAGTCGGCTGCCGCTGCTGCTGCTGTTGGTGGCGGTGATACAGCACCAGGAGCGGGACTGGGGCCTGAGGCTGTGATGCCGGGTGGGGAGCCTTCTTCTTGGGCTTGTGCTGCCGCAACCGGGGCCGCCATGCCGTGTGGGGAGCAGACCGGGGCCGCGGCCGCGACCGGAGTTGATGCTCTGGGTGAGCTGGAGGAGCGGCGGCTGCAGGTGCAGTCGGGTGGGCTGACAGCCGGGGAGGTGCAGGTGCGGCAAGCACCGCAGCAGCAGCAGGTAGCGGTCATGGCGGCGGCGGCGGAGGGCGGCCGAGAGCAGCAGCCCTTGTTACCACCGCTGCAGCCGGCACCGCACCCGCAACAGCAGGGAGCCCAGGGGAGACACGGAGCCGGCGGCTTGGCAGCAGCACCCGCAGCAGCAGCGGGAGCTGCAACAGGACACGCAGCAGCGAGTGTGGGAGCAGGTGCAGGTGTGGGAGCAGGTGCAGCACCCGCAGCAGCACCCGTGGTGGCAGCACCCGCACCCGCACCCGCAGCAGCAATAGGCTCCGGGGCTGCTGCTAGTGGTGGTGGCGGCAGTGGCAGTAACGGTGGTGGTATTGTTGTCACTGGTGGTGGCAGTGGCGCCAGCCGGGTCCAGCGGGAGTTGCTGGAGGAGGTGTTGGGGTGCGGCAGCTGCCGCAGTCTGCAGCGGCTGCTGGCACTGCACCGGCACAGGCTGGGGCCCAAGCTGCTTAGGTAGGGGGAGATAGGGGGTGGGAGGGGGTGAGGGGGAGCCTGTGGAGAGAGTGAAAGGGAGCCTGTCGAAGGGGTAAAAGTGAGGAGCCGTACAGGGCTTGTAATGTGGGTTTATTAGTCGGGTTACATTACGCCTATCTTGTGCGCTTGCGGCTGCTGCTGCTACTGCTACGGGTTCCCTCCAACGAGAAACCCCTCTTGACCCGAGGAAAAGGATAAGATATTCTCTAACTCCTCGTTACCCTCCACCCCTCCGCCCCCCTCACAGCGCGGCAGTGGTCCACCTGAGCCGCCTGGTGGACGAAGATCCCCCGTACGGCGACTTCGAACGACAAATCGTTGCCGTACTTTTGGACGATCTCACCATGTGTCTGAGGCCTGTCGTACGGCAACTCACGCTAAAGCAGTTGGCGTCAACCGTCTGCGCGCTGAGTAAGCTGCGGGCGTACGACGGACCCTTGTTGCGGGCGGCGGCGGCGGTGGCGGCGGAGCGGGCGAGTGAGCTGACGACGCGGCAGGGGGCGGGGCTGATGTGGGCGTTTGCGAGGTGAGTGTGCGTGTGTTGCGAGGTGGTTGGCCGCGAGTAGGAACGCGCACTGTGATTGCCGAAATTCGAAGCCCATGTGGGTAGGGGTTCGGCGCGTGGTTGGGCGGGCACCCAGACAGGTCAACTGGGGTTGGGGCTGGAGTTGGGAAGGCAGGGCGTACACCCCACCCACAAGTACCTCCTACCCGCCCATGCAGCAGCACGGCACCAGGGAAGCTTTCCGGACCACACCCCTTCCTGCACCCCACGCCCCGCCCCGCCCCACCCCGCACCTCCCGCACCCACCCCACCTTCTCAGGTACCGCCGGGACTTCCGACTGGCCCTCCCGCGCAGCTGGGTGCCCTGCCTGCTGGGCGGGCTGCTGCCCCGCCTGCCCGCCGCCTCGCCGCCCGAGCTAGCCATGATGCTCTACGGCACCGCCCTGCTAACACATGGTGGTGATGGTGAGGAGGAGGAGGACAACAGAAATAACAGCACTGTTCGGGGTGCAGGGGCTCCTGCATGTGCTGCGACTGCCACAGCTGCTGTCGTATCCCCACACGAGCAGCTATCATCACAGCAGCAACATCACCATCCCCAGCAGCATCAACAACCGCAGCAGCACCCACAGCAGCAGCCGACGTTGTTGCCACCTCAGCAGCTCCAGCACCCGCAGCCTCAGTACCAACAGCAGCAGCAGCAGCATCCCGGTGGTGGCCCAGTGCCCTCCGAAACCACCACGGACCTGACGCCCCTCCTAACGCTCCTGCTGACCGCCTGCTACAGCCGCATGGGTCAGTTTTGCGGTCGGGAGCTCGCCATGAGTATTTGGGCGCTGTCGGTGCTGGACCTGAACCCGGGTCCGGTCTGGCTTGCGGCTTTCCTCCGGCGTTGCGAGGCCGCCACCCGGACCTTCACAACGGGGTCCGCGGTTGCCAACGTATTGTACGGCCTGGCGATCTTAGGTCAGCGACCCAGCGGGCTGTGGATGTCGCACTTCCTGTGGCAGGCGCAGCGTCGGATGAACAGCATGAACGCGCAGGCGTTGACCATGCTTGCATGGGCGCTGGGTCGCATTCGCTACCGACCCGACCGTCGGTGGCTGCTTGCCTTCCTGCGCTACACGCAGGCGGTGGTGTTGCAGCGGCGAAGGGAGGCCGCACTGCCGGGCGACACGCGCGAGCAGCGGCTGCTGTGTCGCGCCGCCGAACGGGCGGAGCAGCAATTCTGGTTGCAACAGCAGCGGCGGCTGCAGCGGCGGCAGCAGCAGGGGTTGTCCCCGGCCGCTGCTGCAGCAGCAGCACCCCTGCTGCCCGGACAAGCCTACAACAACCTCATCTGGGGCCTAGCCCGCCTCGGATACAGTCCTCCCGGGTCCTGGTTACAATCCTACTGCGCTGCCGTACAACCCCACCTGGCCTCCTTACCTCCCGGCGAGCTCCCCACCTTGTTATGGAGCCTAGCCAAATTCTCCCTGCTGCCGCCCGAGGACTGGATGCTGGACTGCTGCATGGCTCTTCGAGCCGGGCTGCCCCGCTTCCGTCCCGCGGACTGCGTGTTGATCCTGCGAGCCATGGGCAAGATGTGCTCGGCGCTGGGCTACCAGCCGGCGGCAGACGGGCAGCTGCTGGATGCCCTGGCTCGCAAGGTGCAACCGTACCACGGGCGGCTGCAGGTCACCACGCTGGTGTCGTTGGTGATGGCCACGGCGGCGGTGGGGTGCGCGCCGCAGGGGGCGATGCCGCCGGTGCGGCTGGCAGCTGTGCTGAATGCGCTGTTGGTGCGGGTGCGGCCGCCGCCGCCGCCGCAGCAGCAGCAGCAGTCGCTGCAGCTGCAGCAGCCTCACCACCACCACTCGTTGCCTGCTCTTCCTCATTCGACTGCTATTCCGCAGCAACAGCAGAAACAGCAGTTGGAACAGCTGCGGGACGTGTCGGCGGGTGAGGGCGGCGGCGGTTCAGCATGCAGCGGTCGGGTTGAAGACGGCAGCATCAAGGAAGAAGACAGCGACGTCGTACCGCCGTCGGTAACGGCCGCTTCGCCGCCACCACCCCCACCACCGCCACCGCCAGTCCTGCTCACCGCGCGTCAGTGCGTCAACGCAATCTACGCCGTCGGCTGTGCAGCCCGCCGCGGCGGCAGCTACAACACCATTCGTCGGCTGTGCGGCCTCCTGCTCCGGGAGCTCCTCCCCCGGGCCGAGCAGCTCTCCCTAGAGCTCAACTCCGCAGACCTGGTCATGCTGCTGCAGGGCGTGGTGGCGGCACGACTGCGGCCGCACCCCGAGTGGCTGCGTAGGCATGAGGCCCGGGCTCGGCAGCGGCTGGCGGCGGGCGCGATGACTCCTCAGCTGCTGATGAAGCTGCACCAGGGGTATGCAGCGCTGGGGTACGTGCCCCGGGTGCTGCCAGGGCTGAGTGAGGGCGCGGCGGCGGAGCTGGCGGCGGAGGCGGATGCGCGGGAGGAGAAGCGGCGGCGGCGGCAGGAGCTGTTGTCGCGGTGGGCGAGGCGGGCGGAGGTGCGGGCGATGAAGGAGGTGAAGAAGGAGGAGCGGCGGCAAGGGAAGAAGGAGAAGAGGGAGGAGCTGCTCAGGAAGCAGCTGCTAAGGAAACAGGCGGAGCAGGAGAGGCGGCAGCAGAGGGAGCTGGAGAAGCGGCTGAAGAAGGAGCAGAGGGAGCAGCAGCTGCTGGGCAAGCGGGGGCCGAGGCGGAAGCAGCAGCAGGGCGCTGCGCAGCAACCGGAGGAGCAGCAGCAGCAGGTCCTGGCGCAGGTGCCGGCGCAGGAGCAGCAGCCGCAGCCGCAGGTGGCAGAGCAGCAACCTGAGCAGCAGCAGATGCTGGCTGGGGTATCCGCGCAGGAGCAGCAGCAGCGGGAGCAGCCACAGGAGCAGCAAGGGCAGCGGAAGAAGCGGAAGCCGAAGCGGGCGCAGGTAGCAGGGCAGCAACTGACGGAGGAGCAGCCTGGGGTGGGGTTACCACTGCTGCAGGAAGAGCAGGAGCAACAACCGGAGCAGCAGCAGTCCGAGCAGCATGAACAACAGCCACCGCAGCAGCAAAAGCTGTCAAAGAAGCGGAGGTGGTGTCCGCCGGAGGCAGCCCAGCAGCAGTAGGGAGGAAGCCCAGCTGAGGGTGGTGGGGTTGCCGGGGTGCCTTGTTGCGGGCGTGGGCGCATGCAGCAGCAGTGTGTGTCGCGTTGCGTTTTTCCGTTTCCGCGTGGCTAGCGAGACACAGAGACAGGCGTGTTACGGTGTTAGTTTTGGAAGGGGGAAGGGGAACGTCGCAGAGGTTGGAGAGAGAGAAGTAGGTTAGGCCGCAGGTGTAGCTAGCCAGCCAGCCAGGATTAGCTAAACAGAGACAGTTGACGTGTGGATGTGGGTAGTTGACAACGCCACAGATCTGGGATGCCTAAATTATGAGGGAGGTGTTGTAAGGGCTGAGAGCATGTAGTGCGAGGACGCTTGCAGGTTGCGGGTGGTGCCTAATCTAGATTAGCAGGTGCGTTGTGCGTTAGCGAAGGTTCCTAGGGTGAATACCGGTATGGTAGTACTCCGCGCGGCGCGGAATGAAGGGGTAGGCACGAGGGAGACGGGGAGGAGAGAGATGGGTTGCCGAGATGACGCGATATGGGCTGCGCTTTCCTGTTGATATGGGTTGCGCTGCCCCTGAATGGGTTATATGCAGAGCGAGGTGAGAGTCAGAGGAGGTGGTTTGGTATTTGACTTGAGAAGTGTACACATTGCGCTTCCTTGTGCTAGCAGAGTGTGCGCGTGTGTGGAGGGATTGTAGAGAACGAAAGAAGTGTGCTATAGTGCATTGCAACCTTCTTGGCTCGGGCATGCGTCACAGTTTTAACGCACCACTGTTGCCTGGACGTGTCCTTTCGTCTTTGGACGCACTAATGGACGCATTAATGCGCCAAGTAAGGTGGAAGGCTGGGCAAGAGCAGAACTAAAGTAGCATATGCGTGGCCCGGCTATCATGGCTCGACAGCAAAGGACTGCTCAGCAGCGCAATGCCAGATATCGGCACAAAATGCACTGCCTTCCTGTTAAGGGATATCAAAGGGAAACTGGATATATGAAGCGCTCCATGGATATCGGTTTCCCATGGTGACGCCCTCGCAAAGCTCTAGTTAAAGCAGAACTTATGTTCCTGCCATTAAACACGGACAGCAGCAACACCTTATCCTACCAGGGTTTAGAGCAAGACGATTCCCCTGCAACAAACTTGTGTGCATGAGCCCTATCACGTAAGCCAATTCGTATTCCAGGTATACCCGTCGCTTTCCTCTGCCTTAAATGCATACAGGAGTATAAGGCTGTCATTCCTTTCGTAAAGCGTCATACAGGCGGCGGTACGCGAAGGATCAACCTGGTTGTGTGAAGGGCTCGCTTACGCGCCTGTTTGCATTCTATCTTTCCTCCTCCCATTGCCGCGGTTCTACTTGGATCTGCAAACATGCTGTCAACAGCTCCCAAGACATCAACGGCCGCTGGCCGTGCGGGCCAGGTGAGTCGCATTGCCGTTGAAATTGCTTGTCTCGACATCGGCGTCTGACTTCTGTTCCTCAACACTACAGCATGTCAAGCCCAAGGGCCTGTACTCTGCTGCGCCTCGCGACAATGCGCCACCACGCCACGTGTGCCGCAGTGCGGCTCCAAGCACGCCGCAACAGTCTAGCAACAATGCAAGGGACCGCGATTCCGTTGTCTGCAACTTTATTGCCAGCAAGACCGATGCTTCAATGGCATCAACGGCCAAGTTGCTTTCGCGTCGTGGCTGGGCTGTGGCGGAGGCTAAGTCCAAGCTGAAGCCATGGAGCTACACTGTTGGGGAGCTCGGACCGGGAGAAGTCGACATCCGTGTGACCCATAACGGTCTTTGCCACACCGATCTTCATATGAGGGTGAGGCAGGTGTCTTGCGGTTTGCGTAGCCACGTTTCTATTGTGCATGGCCGCGCATGTAACCATCTCTGGCCCAAGCGTACCCAACAAGACCCTGGCCATAGAGTATGCTTTGCGTATTATTATTATGATCAACATCCCGGGCTCAGCGCCAGGCCAAACCGGCATACTCCATTTAAACCTCACAATGCAGCTTCGCTCCTAGGGTTTAGCTCCTCTTTTCTTTCCTTTTCTTTTCTTTTTGAGCTACCTCCTGTTCCTCATTCTTAAAGACCTTCATCTTCCCTACATTCCTCATCCCAGGATAACGACTGGGGCGTCAGCGGCTTTCCCTTCATCCCCGGTCACGAGGTGGTTGGCGAGGTGGTTGCGGTTGGATCCGGCGTCAAGGGTCTGCGTCCCGGTGACCGCGCGGGCGTGGGCTGGATCAGCGACTCCTGCCGCGTGTGCGCCAACTGCAAGCGCGGTAACGAGAACATCTGCGAGAAGGGCTACACGGGACTCATCGTAGCAGGTGCGTGTACGTGTAGCTGCCCGCGTGTGCTCGGCTACAAACTGCGGAAGGAAAAGAGCAAGCGGGTTACATCTTCTTCCCCCATGAATGACCCTCGTTGCTCCTCGCCACCGTCCCCCTCCTTGCATTTTCTCGTCTCCACTCCAAAGCACCTCCTCCCTAACATAAGCCCCTCCCCCCCTCCCCACCCCACCCCCTCCTCCCTCCTCCTCCTCCTTATCCCTTAGTCAGTTAGTTGTTTCCTCTTTACCACCCCCTCCCCCTCCCCCCCAGGCAACCACGGCGGCTTCCAGGACGTGATCCGCGTGTCAGCCGACTTCGCCTACACCCTCCCACCCGGTCTGGACTCCGCAGCGGCGGCGCCGCTGTTGTGTGCCGGTATCACCGTGTATGCGCCGCTGAGGTGGGTGTGTGTTGGGGGGTGGCGGGGAAAATTTGTAATACCGGTAACGAGTGCAGCAACTGGAGTCCCAAACCCATATCCCGACTCATGCAGTGAGCGCTTTTAGGGGGGGAAAGGGTGCTGCGGTGGGGGATAAAGAGTAAGTTCCGTAAGCTTGCCGACCGTCCAGGCGCTTCGCTCGTTCGGCTGTACGAACTGGCTTCCATTCACCAGGGAGCTTGTTACCTCGTTTGCCATCATCGTGCCATACACATTGGCTCCTCTCCCCCCCGAAACCCCCCTCCCGTGGTTCTGGTATGTCTCTGACCCCCCCCCCACCCCGCCCCCAGGGCTCACATCCATCACCCCAACACCCATGTTGGGGTGCTGGGAGTGGGCGGTCTGGGGCACCTGGCGCTGCAGTTCGCTCGCAAGATGGGGGCGGAGGTGACGGCCATTTCGGGCAGGGGGGACAAGGTGGGGTGGAGGGGGGAAAAATTATATAAGTGAAACAACGAGTCCCAATCCCAGGCAGGGGCAGGGGGGGGATATTATAGGTAAGGGGAGAAAAGGGGGGAAAGAGGGGGAGGGAGGAAGGCAGGGGTTACAAGGTAGGGACAGGGGGGGTTGGGAGATTGGGAAGGAAGGGGCGGATTGGGTAACAGTGGAGGAAACAAACCAGCTGGGTGGGAGGGCGGGTTGGTGGTTGGGAGTAGGCGCGGGGGCTTTGACAGCTGGTATGGAGGGGGTGATGGCTGCCCGAGGCCTAGGGGACAGGGGGAGGCGTCTGGCTGACGGCTGGCTGAGAGACACGTCGGGATGCCTGTACGACACAGCCCTGTGCCCTTTCGTTCCCGAACCTCACACGGCACCCCTCCGTCTCCTTCCTCCTCGACCTCCCACCTCCTCGACCTCCCACCCACGTCCCACTCTACCTTTGTCTCCAGGAGGAGGAGTCCAAGGGCATGGGTGCGCATCACTTCGCGGTGTGGGGCCGCGACAATGAGAAGTTCAAGGTGGGGGCGGGGGGTGTTGGGGTGTGAGGGGTTATGGGGTTTGGTATATCTCTTACCCTCCTTGCCCCCTCCATCCCCCCTTCTTCCCCCACCCGCACCCCACCCCCAAACCCCCTCCTCCCATCCTCCTCCCCCTCAGGGCAAGTTCGACATCCTGATCAACACCAGCAGCGGGGACGTGTCCACCGCCGCCCTCATGAGCCTGCTCAAGGTGGACGGAGCGCTGGTGCAGGTGCGGGGGGAGCGGGGGAGGGGAGGGGTAAAGTGGGGGGAAACGTGTGTGTATTGGGGCAACTTGGCAGCGTTACACACCAGCGCACACGCTATATCCCAACCCCCAAAGTCAAGGCCCCAGCTGAACAACCGACAACCTGTCGCACACGCCTGTTCCCTCCCCTGATGCCTTCCCTCCGCTGCCACCTCCTCCCCCCTCTCTCCCCCCTCCCTCCCTCTCTCTCCCCCTCTCTCCCTCTCTCTCCCCCTCTCTCCACCCTCCATCTCCCCCCCTCCCCCACCTCAGGTTGGCATCCCCGGCGGCGGTGCGGTGATGCATGTTCCGCTGCAGGACCTGGTGTTTGGACAGAAGCGGGTGGTGGGCAGCATCGTGGGGGGGCGGGCGGACATGCAGGTGGGGTTGGGGCGGGGGGGGAGGGGGGCGGGGGGGGGAGGGGGGGGGAGGGGGGGGGAGGGGGGGCGGGGGGGGGAGGGGGCGGGGGGTCAAAGACCATACCAAAACATAGGAGACCACAGGGCGGGGGGGTAGGGAGGGGGGAAGTTGCTGACAAGTGCAGCAACCGAGTCCCAATCCCATATCCCGACTCATGCAGTGAGCGCATGCGGAGACCCACTATTTTGGAAACACGCAATTCGAAGGCTTACCGAATGCTTGCCTACTAGAAAGGGGGTGGAGGGTAAGGAGGGGGGGATGATGGAGGTGTCAACCAGCCCGTCAGCCAGCCACAGCCGGCAACAGCGGGCGAGGGTGCATTAGGCCCTACCCATCAGCAGGAGCGAGGGACAGAAGCCATCACCGCACTGCTACATAGCAGCAGCAACGACAACAACATCCCACTCCCGCACACTGCCCACCTCTCCCCCATGCCGCGCCTCACATGCCCCACCTCCTCACCTCTCCCCCCTATCCAGTTCGTCAGTTTTCCTTGTTTTTACCCCGCCCCCCCACACCTCCCCCCCACCACAGGAGATGTTGGACTTCGCGGCGGTGCACGGTATCGCCCCCCTCGTGGAGCTGTGGCCGCTGTCAAAGGTGTGTGTGTGTGTGGGGGGGGGGTAAATAAAAAGTGAAGGGGGAAGGGAGAGGAGGGGGAGAGGGGGGAGGAAGAGGCGGGAGCAGGGATGAGGGAGTGACTAGCTGCAGTGCCGGCATCCAGGTCCCTAACCTGCACTATAAACGCCCTTGCATTCCCCACTCATGTATCATGAGCGCTTGCGCACCTCCTTCCTCTTTCCACCTCTTCCCCCCCCCCCGCCTCCCCTCCCCCCAGGTCAACGAGGCCATGCAGCACGTGGCGGACGGCAAGGCCAGGTACCGAGTGGTGCTCACCTCGGACTGGGAGTGAGGGGGGAGGGGGAGGGGTGGGAGGGCAGCATTGAATTGGAGGTTTAGGGATGTTGAGGAGGGGGTCCCCAGTCGGGCGTGCTGCGTGCTGCGTGCTGCGTGCGGCAGCGAGGTAAACAGATTCCCTTCGGGTGATTCTTTTCTTAGCTTGGCTTGGCTGAGCTTGGCGTAGGTTGACGCACGTGCGAAGCGACACGCACACGCAGCGATGAGCGTCTTTGTGCTGCTCAAGAGGACGAAGGAGAAGAAAAAAGATGGACAGCGTGCGTTCGCCCGCTCGCATGCGCGTGCTGTTAGCGTGCGTGGAGACTAGTCTATGAACAGGAATGCTGTATTTTGCTTGCTTGTTTTGTTGCGTAGATTGTCAGGGAGAAGGGGCAGTTGGTTCGTGCGGCATTCGCAGCCCGACTTGCATCCGAACCAAGCTCCTGTCTGTCTGTCTGCTGCCCTGTTTCCCAGGAACGGGGGACAGAGGGAGGGAGGGAGGAAGAAACAGAGCCAGCATGCACATGCAAATGCGATGCGTATATGGAGAGGGGATATAGAGCGAAGTACATGATGAATTCTTTTTCAGATCCTTGTTAATGATGCGTCGCCTTGTTTGAAGTCTGATGGCCTCTGGAGAATGGTCTGCCTCGCGGTGTGCTGCTGCTGCTGCTACGGGCGTGTGAGTAGGTTGTACGACACACCAGGTGCTATAGGAAATAAGTAAGATAGGATTAGTATGACAGGGGGTAGGCGGTGAAATAAAGTAATATCATTTTGTACGGCATGTACGGTGGCAATTTGGCCGTACATAATTTCTTCAAGTAGTGTTGTAGTGGCGTGCATGCATGTGCTTAAAATTACACATGTGTGCGTGTTTATGTTGAGCCGCGTTTCGGGTTGCTGAGCACGGGGGTACATGTGCGTTTGCGCAGTCCGTTGGTTAAGGCGTGTTATGGGACACCGGGATGTGGTTTGCGTGGTTTAAGGCATGAGCGAGGACGGATAGGCTGGATACCGATACCCGTTTCCGTTCTGAAGGTAGAGTAAAAGGTACCGGTAGTGTAAAGTTGCTCTTGCGACTTCGCCCCCTCTGCCCTTAAGCACATATTCCAGGCTACACACGCTCTCAACTAGGGATGGAGTACGGCGGATGACCCAAGACAGGCCGCGAGGGAGGAGGGCTACAACGGCAGGGCGGCAGGTAGACCCCCCGCAGGGGTTTAAGCATGTAGCATATAGCAGGCGAAGTTAGTGGGGTATGTGGTAAGACGTCGGGCGTGGGGGTATCGGCTGCATGACAATACCGATAATAATGAGTTTAGTGCACATGACAGATGCGCCGCAGCAATATGTGAAATGACCCATGGGTCACGGCCTCCTTGACAAGCTTGGAAGCGGCTACCAAGCGCGAAACGGAACGTGGGTTGGCTGACGGCAAAGACGTTGCATGTCGCACATGATTTGGGGATAGTTTGGACCCTTCAAGTTTGCTTGTGATGTCACAGCTATTGCGGAAGTTGATCGTACGGTGAAGTATACGGCAGACTTGGATTCTTGGCGCGGTCGATAAACAGTCGGATTTCCTCTCAGCATTTGCGCAAAAAAACATTCTCCAGATCAAAATGTTGTTCAAGCCTCAAAGCTGCGAGAGCGCAGCAGCGGTATCATTTTCGCAAGCATTCCTGCAGGGCACTGGCATACCGATACACGAAGCGAGCACGTGAGAATATCTAACCACAGATATAGGACAAATAAAAATAAACATGATAACACTAAAGGAGCAGGATTGCCTTTTCCAAGACCGCGGTTCGCGGCAACATAGGAAACACCCGGCTAATTTGTTTCAACTGCTGCTAGCTCTCGGACTATGGTGCATCCCTTCTCCGTGCGCTTCTGCGTCTACTCTGGCATCCAAAGGTATGGGGTCAAGGAACGAAACCTAACTGCTATCCTAGCTTTCGCGGTCAACCCCGCGCTGCGACTGCCAGCTTGGTTGTACCAGGCAATTATCCCGCAATTACGTCATGACACAGGATGTAGCTTATTATATCCGCTGCTGGATATGTATTTGTTCGGCTATCGCCGTTGGCTTACATTAATGCCGTATCCAACGTACGGCTGCTGCTGCAGAGAGCGGCTCATCAAGCGCACCCAGCTGCACCTGCCGCCTGCTCTTCGACCCAGTCTGCGCGGGCGGCAAGACCTACAGCAACGCCTGTCAGGCCACATGCGCCGGTTGGACCGCGGCAACCATACGCAGCGGTGCGTGTCGTACCGTACGAAGCTCGCAAGAAAGCAGCCGCCGGGGGCCTACCCAGCAGCGCTTGCTAGGTCATGAACGTGCTTCCACTTGCCCCTTCTTCCCTCAATTACGCCTGCGTACCCTCGCGCCGGACATATGCCCCTTTGATACTTCCGCGGCACCTTCCTGCCGCTGCACAGGCGCATGCGCACCCCGCTCATCAGGTTAGCAACAGCAGGACATCCCCCCCACCCGTCTGCCTGCCCCCCATGGCTGCTTGCCCGCACAGGCGCATGCGCTGCCGGCACGGCTGCTGCTGCAGCTGTGCCAGCGGCTCCCGCAGCAACGACGAATAATAATAATGAAGAAGCGGCGGTGGCGACGGAGGCGGCGGAAGCATGGTCGCCCTCACCGTCGTCACTGGCAGCGAGACCCCAACCGCAACCAGTCGTGGAGCCGCAGCCACAATCAACAGCAATTAAATCGCCTCCACCACCTCTTCCGCCGCCACCACCGCTGACCCTGCTGACGTCGCCAAACCTGCCGTCGCCACCCGCGTCACCTCCATCATCGTTAGCTGCTGGCGACGGAGGGAATGCCGGCGGAGGCGATGCCGGTGGCGGCGCCGGTGTTTACGGTGGTGCTGGCGGCGGCGGCGGCGGTGGCAGCAGCGGTACTTCCTCCTCCTCCGCCTCCGGATCCTCCTGCATCTGTGCAGCGGTCTGGGATCCGGTGTGTGGCGAGGACGGCAGGATGTACGGTAATAGCTGCCAAGCGAGGTACGGCAAGGGGTTATATGAGAGCTAGACGCGCACGGTATATGTACCTATTTATCAGCGTGTGACCCATGGGTCGTTGATGTACTGGCGGCGCTGCTATAGCTAGCGCAACCGGATTGACATGCCGCCCAGCTCCTTATCGCCTGCTACGCTTAAACGTGCACCTCCATGCATCTCCTCTGCCTAATAACGTCTATCCTGATATCATCCCGCCTGCTGCTGTGCGTGCAATCCCGCGAATTAACCTCTTCCTTTGATCCCCTTCCTAACGCCGTAACAACATGTGACCGACAGGTGCGCCCACGTCACCTCCTTCACCTCCTGCGTCCCGGGGCCAGCACCAACCGGGGCATCATCGTCATCAACACCACCGCCCACACTGCATTCGGCAACCGGCTCTCCACCACCTACTTACGCTGGTGTGGCCACCGGTGGTAAGGTCCTATCCGACGATGTTAATGAACGTACAGTTGTTACCGGGCCTCCGACGCAGCGCCAACTCCAATCACCGCCACTCCAGCACCAATCGCAGCAGCAGCAGCAACCACCTAGCAGCAGCAGCAGCTCCATCAAACACATCGGGCTGGTGCTTCGGCCACCGTCACCACCACCACCACCACCACCGCCGCCTCCCTCCTTCCCGACCTCAGGACGTTGAGGGAGGTGGGACGCTGTTATGTTGTGTCAACCTCGCGTCTATAAATTTCAGAGCTAGCTATATATGTGTTACGTTATTGTTCTGGGTCGTCGTCATACATCTGTGTCAGGCTTGCTTACCGGTGTAGGAGTCCAGAGGGTGGTTGCTTGATATCGGTGGTTGCCGGCTGGTGCAAAAACGCACGGACCTTTCTTCCTTTCGTACGCCATTACTGTAGCAAACACGGTGTGCATGGCTTGGTGAGTTTAGGAGAGATACGTTACACGCGAGTGATAACCTGGCAACATGCAGCTAAGATGATGATGTACGGCAAGCTTTTGCTATATTTGGTTGCTCGTTCGTAATGATGTCGTCTGCTGCTGCCGGTAGATCGTTCGGCCTTGGTTGGTTACTTGATTGCACTGCTGGTTACCTGCTACTGCCTTGCATCAGCTGCTGCATGCTTGGCAGGAAACACACACAGGGGTGCCGTACGTGTGCCGCGGCAAGGACGTACGATTCCTGCTGGTTACTAGACAGTTATTATCCAATTGTGTGAAACCACAAAACCACATGTGTGAAATGCACATATGCCGCCGTGCCGGACGCCGTTACACTGTAACACACAACATGCATGCACGAAGGATTGTAGAAGGAAGCATCAATTTAATAGCTCAGGGAACAGTGGTACGCATGCATGCACGCATGCAGGATGTGCATGACAGCAGGCTCTCACCACACGTGTATGGCCGGAGTGAGTGAGGCAGCAGCGGAAGAGAATGCATGTGGAATGCAATCAATGCAACATTCCATGCGGCAGCAGCAGCATGCATCATGCAGCGTGTCAGCGTGCCAATGTACATAGATGCCGTACGTACACGTCAGAATGGCCAGAACCGCCACTCCCTGCTGGTGTGTCCTTGTTAGGCGTTGCGTCATTGGTGTGTGCCTAATAAGGAGGGCGTTTTGGCAAAGAACACCGCCCTATAACTGCGCATTTCCTACCTAGCCGCGGGACATGCCTAAAACGTTAATTTTTGGCAGGGCAGCTTGCAACGCAGATTAGGGCACCGTCCGATCAGAAGCAAGGAGCATAGGGCCTGAGCCTGTAAGGTGAACAATGGCGGTTAGGTAGACACCTGTGCTGCTTGGGGACTGTGATGTTGCTGAGCCGGCAGGTGCAATTGCAACTAACCACTACGACAAGGCCCATGACACTGCTGCTGCTCTTCATTCTGTTGCGACACACAGCAAGGCAATGTGTTTACCACACCTGGTAAACTGGATCTTTGCAGGGAAACATGGCTTAAGCCTACGCAACTGCAGCTATTGGTTTGACCGACATATGCGAAACATCAAATACGAACCATTATACGTGCATGTGTTACCTAACAGCCATGCTACCGTAACGCCCATTTCGTACAGCTTGCATGCAAGCCCTTGGATGGAACAACCTTCGGAACGTTTGCCACAAGGCAACGCATCTGGTTAGTCGGGTGGTAATCGTACGGCAGTTTACCGAAAGTGTGTACGAGCAGTAAGCAGGCCTATTTATATGAGCAGCTCTGCAGTTGCTAATCACCAAAGCAATAGTTTAGTCTGCTAACAACATACATCTGATATTAAGTATGTCTCGATCTCCAAGGAGGAGGAGGAGTACAGCAAGAAGGAGGAGAAGGAGTGCGGCAAGAAGGAGGAGAAGGAGTACGGCAACAAGGACGGCTTCAAGGACGAGAAGGAGTACGGCATGAAGGATGAGAAGAGCGGCTTTTAGGGCGAGGAGCAGGCAAGGAGGACGGCTAAGGGTTGACAGCTCTTAATAGTTCACTCATGTAACCTAGTACGACATCTATCTCGTAATGATACGGTGAACAGCTGGTATTGCTAGGGACCATACTATCCTATTATGTGTGATAACCAGCGCTGTGATCGTCAAGTGATCATCCTATGATTATCGTTTACGTAGGAAAGACTGGGTTGTTTGGCACACGTCCTTCCGAGCGTGTTTCGCATGGTAGTAGTTCTGTGAAAGACGCTTACCGTATGTGCACTGTTCGGCTCAGAAGACTACGTAACTAAATCGCTGTAGTGTGGACATCACTGTACTCCCAGAGTTCCTTATAAGGGCGGCAAAGCCGACATTTACCTACAAATAATGTTAGAGTAAGCTGGAGTAAGTAGCAATGTGTCCTGAGCCCAAACAGCATCAGGACGGTGCCAGGTCGGTGGGTGCTAGGTCGGTGGGTGCTAGGTCGGCGTGTGCTAGGTCGGTTGGTGTCAGGTCGGCGGGTGCTAGGTCGGTGGGTGTCAGGTCGGCGGGTGCTAGGTCGGCGGGTATCAAGTCGGCGGGTGCCAGGTCGGTGGGCGCTAGGGCGGTGGGTGCTAGGTCGGCGGGTGCTAGGTCGGCGGGTGCTAGGTCCGAGGGGGCTAGGTCGGCGGGTGTCAGGTCGGTGGGCGTCAGGTCGGCGGGCGCTAGGTCGGCGGGCGCTAGGTCGGCGGGCGCTAGGTCGGCGGGCGCTAGGTCGGCGGGTGCTAGGTCGGCGGGCGCTAGGTCGGTGGGCGCTAGGTCGGTGGGTGCCAAGTCGGCGGGCGCTAGGTCGGCGGGCGCTAGGTCGGCGGGCGCTAGGTCGGCGGGTGCCAGGTCGGCGGGTGCCAGGTCGGCGGGCGCTAGGTCGGCGGGCGCTAGGTTGGCGGGTGCCAGGTCGGCGGGTGCTAGGTCGGCGGGCGCTTGGTCGGCGGGTGCTAGGTCGGCGGGTGCTAGGTCGGCGGGTGCTAGGTCGACGGGTGCTAGGTCGGCGGGTGCTAGGTCAGCGGGTGCTAGGTCGGCGGGTGTCAGGTCGGTGGGTGCTAGGTCGGCGGGCGCTTGGTCGGCGGGTGCTAGGTCGGCGGGTGCTAGGTCGGTGGGTGCTAGGTCGGCGGGCGCTAGGTCGGCGGGTGCTAGGTCGGCGAGTGCTAGGTCAGCGGGTGCTAGGTCGGCGGGTGCTAGGTCGGCGGGCGCTAGGTCGGCGGGCGCTAGGTCGGCGGGTGCTAGGTCGGCGGGCGCTAGGTCGGCGGGTGCTAGGTCGGTGGGTGCCAAGTCGGCGGGCGCTAGGTCGGCGGGCGCTAGGTCGGCGGGCGCTAGGTCGGCGGGTGCCAGGTCGGCGGGTGCCAGGTCGGCGGGCGCTAGGTCGGCGGGCGCTAGGTTGGCGGGTGCCAGGTCGGCGGGTGCTAGGTCGGCGGGCGCTTGGTCGGCGGGTGCTAGGTCGGCGGGTGCTAGGTCGGCGGGTGCTAGGTCGACGGGTGCTAGGTCGGCGGGTGCTAGGTCAGCGGGTGCTAGGTCGGCGGGTGTCAGGTCGGTGGGTGCTAGGTCGGTGGGCGCTTGGTCGGCGGGTGCTAGGTCGGCGGGTGCTAGGTCGGTGGGTGCTAGGTCGGCGGGCGCTAGGTCGGCGGGTGCTAGGTCGGCGAGTGCTAGGTCAGCGGGTGCTAGGTCGGCGGGTGCTAGGTCGGCGGGTGCTAGGTCGGTGGGTGCTAGGTCGGCGAGTGCTAGGTCGGCGGGTGCTAGGTCGGCGGGTGCTAGGTCGGTGGGTGCTAGGTCGGTGGGTTCTAGGTCGGTGGGTGCTAGGTCGGCGGGTGCTAGGCCGGCGGGTGCCAGGTCGGCGGGCGCTAGGTCGGCTGGCGCTAGGTTGGCGGGTGCTAGGTCGGTGGGCGCTAGGTCGGTGGGTGCCAGGTCGGCGAGTGCTAGGTCGGCGGGCGCTAGGTCGGCGGGCGCTAGGTCGGCGGGTGCTAGGTCGGCGGGTGCTAGGTCGGTGGGCGCTAGGTCGGTGGGTGCCAGGTCGGAGGGTGCAAGGTCGGCGGGTGCCAGGTCGGCGGGTGCTAGGTCGGCGGGCGCTAGGTCGGTGGGCGCTAGGTCGGCGGGTGCGAGGTCGGTGGGTGCTAGGTCGGCGGTTGCAAGGTCGGTGGGCGCTAGGTCGGCGGGCGCTAGGTCGGCGGGTGCTAGGTCGGCGGGTGCTAGGTCGGCGGCTGCTAGGTCGGCGGGTGCTAGGTCGGCGGGTGCTAGGTCGGCGGGTGCTAGGTCGGCGGGTGCTAGGTCGGCGGGTGCTAGGTCGGTGGGCGCTAGGTCGGCGGGTGCTAGGTCGGCGGGTGCTAGGTCGGCGGGTGCTAGGTCGGCGGGCGCTAGGTCGGCGGGTGCTAGGTCGGCGGGTGCTAGGTCGGCGGGTGCTAGATCGACGGGTGCTAGGTCGGCGGGTGCTAGGTCAGAGGGTGCTAGGTCGGCGGGTGTCAGGTCGGCGGGTGCTAGGTCGGCGGGCGCTAGGTCGGCGGGCGCTAGGTCGGCGGGCGCTAGGTCGGCGGGTGCTAGGTCGGCGGGTGCCAGGTCGGCGGGTGCTAGGTCGGCGGGTGCTAGGTCGGCGGGTGCTAGGTCGGCGGGTGCCAGGACGGCGGGTGCTAGGTCGGCGGGGGCAAGGTCGGTGGGTGCTAGGTCGGCGGGCGCTAGGTTGGCGGGTACTAGGTCGGCGGGCTCTAGATCGGCGGGTGCTAGGTCGGTGGGCGCTAGGTCGGCGGGTGCTAGGTCGGCGGGCGCTAGGTCGGCGGGTGCTAGGTCGGCGGGTGCTAGGTCGGCGGGCGCTAGGTCGGCGGGTGCCAGGTCGGCGGGTGCTAGGTCGACGGGTGCTAGGTCGGCGGGTGCTAGGTCGGCGGGTGCCAGGACGGCGGGTGCTAGGTCGGCGGGTGCTAGGTCGGTGGGTGCTAGGTCGGCGGGTGCCAGGTCGGTGGGTGCTAGGTCGGCGGGTGCTAGGTCGGCGGGTGCTAGGTCGGCGGGTGCTAGGTCGGCGGGTGCTAGGTCGATGGGTGCTAGGTCGGCGGGTGCTAGGTCGGCGGGTGCTAGGTCGGCGGGTGCTAGGTCGGTGGGCGCTAGGTCGGCGGGTGCTAGGTCGGCGGGTGCTAGGTCGGCGGGTGCTAGGTCGGCGGGTGTCAGGTCGGCGGGTGCTAGGTCGGCGGGCGCTAGGTCGGCGGGCGCTAGGTCGGCGGGTGCTAGGTCGGCGGGGGCAAGGTCGGTGGGCGCTAGGTCGGCGGGCGCTAGGTTGGCGGGTACTAGGTCGGCGGGCGCTAGATCGGTGGGCGCTAAGTCAGAGGGTGCTAGGTCGGCGGGTGCAAGGTCGGCGGGCGCTAGGTCGGCGGGCGATAGATTGGCGGGCGCTAAATCGGCGGGCGCTAGGTCGGCTTGTGCTAGGTCGGTGGGCGCTAGGTCGGCGGGCGCTAGGTCGGCGGGTGCTAGGTCGGCGGTTGCAAGGTCGGTGGGCGCTAGGTCGGCGGGCGCTAGGTCGGCGGGTGCGAGGTCGGCGGGTGCTAGGTCGGCGGCTGCTAGGTCGGCGGGTGCTAGGTCGGCGGGTGCTAGGTCGGCGGGTGCTAGGTCGGCGGGTGCTAGGTCGGTGGGCGCTTGGTCGGCGGGTGCTAGGTCGGCGGGTGCTAGGTCGGCGGGTGCTAGGTCGGCGGGCGCTAGGTCGGCGGGTGCTAGGTCGGCGGGTGCTAGGTCGGCGGGTGCTAGATCGACGGGTGCTAGGTCGGCGGGTGCTAGGTCAGCGGGTGCTAGGTCGGCGGGTGTCAGGTCGGCGGGTGCTAGGTCGGTGGGCGCTAGGT